ATCGACTTTAGTATTAGGAGCAGCCGCAGGCGATTAGAATCGTTGCCGAATTTAAACCTATCACGCTTTCTATGTTGTAGTTGCCGCCAATGGAGAAGTAAACAGGCAGGTAGCAACGATCTAACGGAACTACTGCTACCAGAGTAGGAGCGGCGACAGCGGTAGTTCCATCTACGGTCCCCACAAAGTCAAGTGGCTGCTTTGCTGCCGCTGTCCTTTCCGCATCGTCCGTCCGTCCTTCCGTCAGACCTCACCGTGATAACGATGTCTTTCGTATGAAGGTAACAGCAACGATACTGTTGACGATTATGGCAATGGAAATGGTGGAGATGAAGATGAAAGCAAGCGTACGTTTTCTATAGGCAGCCATCGCTTTTCGTAACATGTGGCGAGACCTTACAGTCAGGGGGCGCGTTTTTGATCTGAGAGTGAATCTCTGTGGCCACAATGTTAGCCGCGCTGATGCTGCTGCTGTGATAGTGGTGAAGGCTGCGGCGATGGACGACGAAGTGGGCAGCATTAAAAGGCTGCATCTTCTTCCTGAGTTTCTCTCGGCTTTTCCCTCTCTGCGCTTGCAGTTGTATTTATTATTCGTACCGTTGCTGCCAGGTATACGAGTATATGTAGCGAAACTCAAGAATCTGCCTGGTGCTTGCTGTATTCTATGCTCTCTGTTTGTTCGCAGCGTGAGTCTCTGTTAGCTGTTCGCAAAGTTTCATTTGTTTGGCGTTATTAATGTCCCCTCTTCGGCGCTACGCGTGATGAGAGAAAAGGAAGAAAAGAGGCATAGACTTTCCATGAACTTTGCTGCATGTCTGTTTAGAGCGGCTGCGGGCCCCAACAGACGAACCCTGAACGCCATTTGCCCGCTTGTCCCTCGTGGAATGCGTGGCGCTTCCGCCACAATCTCGGCTTCTACTGCTATTACAGTTATTTCTCCCTCGAGTTCTTTCGTCGTTTTTCTCTGCTTGTTTTTTTTTGACTTTTATCTTTCAGCACCGCTGGTCGGCCGACGGACGAAACAGCGTGGTACTCCATCGTCTCTCCACCAACCCCCTGATCGTTCCTAACGATCTAGAAAATCCACGGAAACCACTTTTTCTTCCTAGGCGCGAAGAATCAAAGACATAAGGGTCTCAAAGACTTCTGCTTACTCGTACCCTAGTCAGCTGGCTCTACGTTTTGTTGTGCCTCTTTTTCTCTGCCGTTTTGTCGTGACGTTGTACCGTTTCCTCTTGCGACGTTCTACTCACATTACCATGCACGTTCCGTCTTATAGAGCCCAACGTATATACAGCACTCCGCTGCTACTCTCTCACTTACTTCTCACTGCTACTACCGCGGCCAGAATAGTCGGATCTAGGTTGCACTTTGTCGTCTTCTTGTCGTTTGCAGTAGTGTCCTGTGAACACCTCGTGCCACGCTCTGCGTTAAACCGTACGCAAAGCACGAGAAGTATGCGATACTACCTGCTGCTACACCTTAGCCTCTCATACTTGTCATACCCACTGCGTTTCCACTATGACGGTGGTGGGAAGCAAAGCTAAGAAGCTTCGGCCGTGGGCAGAGCATATTTATGAAGGAGTCTTTTTTTAGGCTACCATTCGTCGTCCAATGAAGTATTGTTCCTTCACCTCACTACTGCTCAATTGTGCCGACAAGAACCATCTAGAAGAAAGCAGACAGCTTTGCGCAGCTGCACTCAGAAAAGCAGAACATAGCACCAGAAGCAGCGAAAAGGTTCGAACCACACGTGTCCTATCATCATATACGTAGTTCCAGTGCGCGCAGGACGGCGAAGTAACGCTACCAGGCAGCTGTATCGGAGTTTTATATAAGTGATGTTGTTTTACACGCCCTTTTCGTATTATGAAGATCGTTTCAGGTTCCTTGTTTACGAGCTCAGGACGACCAGTTGTCAACATCTTTATCGTCAGTATCGAAGCAGCATTCAGCACTTCCCTGTTGAAAAGCTGTGATAACAGCGAGCGTGCATCACGCGACGAGTTACACCGCAGAGGTTTTTTTCCTACGGTTGTCGCCGTAATCTCCAAATAGGATCATAGTAAACATTGGCATAGATTTTCACGCCAACGAAGAGCATAGAAGTAGTTTTTGTGCCATAGCTCACCACAGCCGTAGCAGCTGGTGCGGTGGCCATCATTGTTACGACTATGAAAACTGCACTGCAGCAAGCGACCACAGTCCACTTGTTCCTGGCGCCTCGGCGAACAGCCGTTCGGTTCATCCACGTTTCACAAAATGGGCTTTCTTTTTTCCCTCTCTTTCTCCGCTCTCCTACACCTTGCCGATCAGCAATGATCATTCGGCGATCGACGGTGGGAAGCAGCAATTGCGACGGATAACCGTGGCTGTTTGGTACCTCCTTTTCGATAGCTAAGGTCACTGGAATAGCTGCTCGTTGGAAAGATAGGCGACCCGCAAACCGCCCCTAAGGAGGGAGATTCTCGTCAACGTGAAATAAAACAACGACGGTGGTCGGGCGACCGGAATGACCATGGTCAAAAAAGTAAACCTACCCTCAGTGATAGCCGATCCTGCCGACAGGCCGTACGAGATGGTAGACGAAGCGGTACAAGAAAGAACGTACTATAGAGCAATCGGTCTATTCGTCTGTCCGTGGTTGTTGTTGTTGTTGAGTTTGCTAATCGGTAACTGGAACTTCCACAAATGGAAAAATCGTTATCTTATATATATATATATATATAGATATATTAGGGTAAACAACATTTAATTGTGAATTTCACGGCATACATAGTGTAAATAAAGTTAAAATACACGTAATAGGAAACATTTTTTTTTTTCTTTTTTGTAAGTTTTGGGCCACATACGAGTGTAATAGAAGTTTAGTGAATTTAGATCCAAATCTTGTTTATTTAGCCAGTTCTAACCACAGATTTATTTAAGCAGTTTTACACAGAATCGGCTATATTACGTTTCGACACACTAAGAGTGTTGACTCGAACACTTCATGAATTTTAAAAAAATGTTTACTTCTTTATTGTTGCATTGCTTTCTCGTAGTAATGAACCCACTTTGAAGGTACGACTTCTTTTGACAGGCAGAGCATTTGTTACGAGGAGTGACTCCAAGGAGATCGTCCGCAGTGCTTTTCCTTGAGAGTCGTTTCGCCTACGAACATTGTTTCCTGCGCATGAGGAGGGAAGCGATAAGTTTATATCAGTAATGGTGTCCATCCTTCTATGCGGGCCGTTCTACAATCCATAAGAGGACGTCGCGGAAGACGGAAGAATTTCGCAATAGTGAAAGTGAAGAACTGCGTACTTGCTCGTCTAAAGTCGTGCTTTTTAGTCACATGGATAGGCGGATATCTGTTGTTAGCGATAGCGAATTTTCGATTCCTTAGTTTATCGGGCGGTGCTAGGCATCGGCAGTGTTCTATTTTTTCTATATTTTAATGAATATATGGATATAGTTTGCTAAGAGCGCAGTCATAAATTAGTAATCACACTTAGATCTCTAGGGCACAACATAAATGACAACATTGCTTAATGCCTGACTGAGTGTATCTCAATATACAGTGAGCCCTTGTATTCGATTCGGTGGTTTTTACCTAGGACTGGTTCATAGCTTCATTTCATGTATCTCTTTCATCACCGGCTTATAAATCCATTGCCATGTTAGGCATTTAACTAACAAGTTCATTCATCAGGTATTCATTGCTACTATATGCACAAACAAATAAAATAATTTAAAGTTCTTTTTCAGAAGGTAGAACTAGATTGTTCGCGTCATCATGGCCATTTAAAGTCACAGTTCTCTTTCCGAAACACCAACTGAATGGAAAATATACTGCAGCCGAAATCTATTTACTGATCCGAAAAGTTGGCAATATTAATTGAGCTCATGTCTAATAGAACCAATCTAGGTTTTGTTAAGTAATTTCAATAGCTTACCCACCCCAGGGTGTTTTAGCCTTAATGGCCTCTTTTAAGGACAATGAAGTTCTTTTCGGATTCACAAACTTCAGTTGTTTAAGGTAAGTACATTTCGTTAGAAAGTATTCAGGGCGTCACTGCTAGTATTGTACTTTACCTAATGTAGTCGATACGCCGCAGACCTTGTGTATTCAGGTGGGCTTGCCGTTCGCCTTTCTGCAACCCCCGGATGCGTTCTGAAGCCCTCAGCACAGAACAAAAGAGTGATTTTGAAGCGCCCGTCGATACCACTACGACCCGCCCAATGTTTTTCGGCTTTTTCGCTAAGCGTGCCCAGCGTTGTGAGGCCAAGACTTCGTACAAACTGACTGAGTTCGAAGCTGAAAATAATTGTTGTGGCCTTAAAAGCGAATCCTAACCTATACCCGAAAGACAGTGGTCTCCAAACGTAGAGTCGCCTCAGATAATCAGCTCAGTCACGTTACGGGCTAGGCAAGATCAGCATTTCGATGATCCAATCAAGCTAACTTGCTTGGATTTGAAGAGAACGAGTTTTGTTTTTTCTTCAGCCTATATTCCTAAACAGTGGCGTAGTTCGTGCTTGAGCCGATTTCTACCTTGTTTGCCATATACTGCAACCAAAAATGAAAAAGAGCGCATCTTAAGTCATGCCTCTTAGGTCATAGATGAATTATTTTTCTCTAGTTTACCGTACCTCTTCTATATTTCCGACGACACAACAGAATGAGAAGTATGGACAAGACAGCACACAAATCTTACCGCGAATATCTATGGCCTTATAGTTGATTTCTGTCAAGTTAAACGTTCCTGTTCTCAGCTCGCTTAACGACGTACCACGGAGTGCATTTCTGGGCAAAATTCACAGAGCCCGCCTTTTTAGCCAAATTAATACAATGAATTTTCAAGCAATAATAATGGTCATCATTTCTCGACGATTTGTGTCGATAAACAATTAGTCAGCACTATAATGTTATTATTATTATTATTATCATTACAGATTCGAAGGCGTAAAGTTGGACAATGTCGTACGCATTCGGAACGCTAGCACGTATATCATGAGAGCCAAGTTAAGTGTCATAATAATGTGCCTAACACCTCAGCATTCAGGAATTGCGAACAGCTCAACTTATTTCGTCAATTTGCGCACCGTAATAAGTGTAAGGCTGTTTGTTCTCGTTTTAGATAACCTATACAATATTGCTCAGGATCGAATATGATATACAAAGTTATGTGAGATTATCGGAAACAATAGTGTTTGAAGCACTGCCGCTTCAGACACCTGTTAGGAGCTTCTAAGCCTCAACAATTGGCTGTACATCGCACAGGCAGTGGGAATTTTTATTAGCTTACTTTAAAATATATGTGCGCGCTGCCTTCGACTAATTTCCGATACCGGTGGAAGGCGCATCGAAAGGTTGATGTATTACGCGAACGCTGATATCGACTCGTACCTTCCCAATGACTCAGTGGCCAAAAAACAAGTAGTACTGACACTGCTCACTGTGTCATGGAAACATTAACGTATAGCAGCCCATTCGTGCTTAGCCGCTTCTTTTTTCGGACCTAACGAGTCGTAATGATAAATGGGTGAAGACGCATCATCTAAACAGGGGGCCCTTATATGATCTATCACAGAAGCAATCTTTTTACCGGTGACGACCCCTTCATTCTCGCCTCGAGCCCGATTGAGCAGAACGAGCCGAAAGCGGAGTGACGACGCGGGGAAAAAACCTTATCGTAGCGAAAAGAGGAATTTCGTGGACGTAAGGATATACTCATCAACCCGGCGATGCGGGTTTAGCCATCCAGCCAAAGACGGTCCCCTCGAAGAGGGAGCGCGGCTACGGTGGACGAGGAAGCAATAGCAGCATTTCTTTGTCCCAGGTCCATCACCTAGTCACTCCCAATCGCTCTGACTGTTGGCCAACGACGCCGGGGTTATTCGGGGTTTGAGCACTTCACGAGTGATAATCGCTGTGAAGCGTAATCGAAAAGCCCAGGCTATTTTGACGGGCACAAAGAAACAAAAAAAGAAAAAAAAACCAAAGCCGATACTGGCTCTGCCGTCTAGTCAAAATAATTTCCTAAAGTTAGTACGCGGCCTGATAAGAACATATCAAATCACAGCAGCCTGAGTTTGGTTATAGCACGTAGTGTAAAAGTACGGGTACGATGCTTTATACGTACCCCTTTTTTGAGTCATTTCGCAGGTGTAATTAGGTAAGAATATATCCATATTATGCAACTTAATTGTATACGCATAATTATCCAACATAAATGCGGGATTAAGATTTAGCAACAATAAAGCTATATGTCTTTGGATATATTTCAGTGTCTTTTGGAGGAATCCGGCCATTGAGGGACAAATAATTGCTTAAAAGGGCTTAAAATGTAACAGCTTTTAGGTGGAACGTTAATAGATGCAAAATCCTTATGACACACCTTCGTTGCTTCGTTTAGAGTCATTCTGAAGTATGCCACTGAGGTTCGAGGTAAAGATATAAGGTGCCTCGAAGAAAATTATCTATTAATCTGATTCCCATTGCGCAGCGAAAACATATTATTTCTCCTTTTCTCCGTACTAAATTCTGTTATCAACGGCCGATGTGTGGTACCTCAGAGATGAAGAAACGTTCAAACATTCGCAATTTTATATATTTCTCGCCACTTTGCACTGGTTAGTCTCGATAGGTTTTCTAGTGTAAGGTAAGTTGGCCTGTGCAACCACAGTTGTAACTCCTATGGCGTGACTGTAATATTGAAAGATAGGCAGGGCCACGGCGATCTTTTTCATCCGAATCTAAGACTCCTACCGCAGTCTAAGGAATAACTCGCCGAAGCCCACTGAAATATGAAAATGAAGTTAGGTAAAATACATTTTACCTAAGACTAATCATGTTGCCGATTGGCTTTGTACTCTGCTTTTGTCGTCCGCTGCTATGGGTGGCTCTAAGGGTAAGCCTTTCTATGGCATGATTCCATATCTGTGTATTAGAAAAGCGGTACCAGTTCGTTAACGAATATTCTTGCGTATATTGGAACAAGAAGCGCGAAAGAGCTGCACGTGTATGACCCTAAAAGTTGATATTTAGTTAAGTATCTCATACCTAGTGAACTGGTTTATTAATGACGCTCAATGTTCCTGTATACAGTTTGTCAGATAAAAATGGTAGCCAGCGGTAGTCAATTTAAGCACCACGCAATTACTATTGCACGATATGAGTCTAAAAAAGAAGGCCAAAACAAATAATACGACAATAAAAAGTTTACGTTTTCGCGGTGCACAAGTTAATCCATTTTAAATTCGCGTTACGTGGTTCTGAATTATTTATTTATTCCGCGGTCCTATTTATTTTTTAGCATTACTTCAAGAACAACGTTAATAGATAGTATTGATTTTAATAAGGTGACGAGTTTCATGCGTGGTGCTCAATGTTCTAGAAGCGCGGACATCAACGTCTGTTTAATCAACAATTTCATAGCGGGAATAGTACCTCTGGGTCTGCAGATGCGGCTATGAAACGAATTGGCTAACATTATCACACAGACGCCTTGTGGCTAACTTCCTTTTCTGTCAGTACATTCTATCTATCTGATCTCATTCCACTATAGTCTATCCTCCGCCTCTAACCGCTGCGCCCTCTCGGGAACAGGAACCAAAACAATACCCGGGCCTTCGGCGACTGTCCGTGTGTGAAGCTCTCCTGTAGATCACTTCATGGAAACTTTCAAATAAGAGATAATGTACGGGTAGACTAGATGAGGCACAATGGGCCGACGGACGGTCTCAATGAGGCAGGCTATTGCGACTCTTGGGCGCTCTGGCCCACATGACAGTCTAGACGACTTCCAGCTAACCCATATACCTACAAACAAGTGCTTATGGCTTATATATATTCACCTGCAACGCAGAGTTTGTGAAGTGATGAAGTGCAGCTTTAAATTTGCGGCCGGTTTACATTTGGTAAGAAAAGTTGAAGGACGAGTTGTTACTAAAGCATTCCTATGTATAATATTATTATGATTGGGTAAGGTACATGTTCCGAAAGGCAAAACGTAACGAAAAAAAAATAACTTTCAAGCTAAGCAAATACCTACTCCCTCTGAATGCATAAAAAGTGAGGTCCTTGCATTCGTCGTCGTGTATGGCCGCAAGTCGCTTGCGGAGGAAATTGCTTTGTATGACGTAAGCTATTCCTTCATGCCATTCTGTCCAACCGCCAAAGCTTGGTCATGCGATTGCTCCTTAATTGACGCCTTCCGGGACCTACTTGCTGTCGTAAATGGCAATAAAAAGACATGGCCCTGACCGTTTTAGCCTCGCCAGAAAAAGCCCAGAAGTTATGAAGTGAAACATTTCCCTCTTTCCTTTATGTCTTCAGCTCACCTTCTCTGGGCTTCGTGTCTGATAATTACTCCGCGAATTGCTTCGCTGCTCGTTGCTGCTTCTGTTCCTTCTGCTAATTGCAAATCAATTGACTGCAGCGTCGGGCGGTACCTTTACTTTCGTTTGATAGGACCCTCGGGTTTACTTGCGCTTAGCAAGTAAGCTAGCATTATATGTATGTATATATACGCTACTCTGGCTGATGTTACCAGGCCGATCTCGAACATTCTATTGTGCCAAAGTGACATGTGGCATAACCTGTCAACTGCTACAGTTTACGCTGCGTCCATTCAAGGGAGTAAACCATACGATCTATATAAAAAAAAGAAAAACAGGCGACTACAAACTAGATAATGATTAGGCTGAAGTTCCCATCATCGCCGGCGTCAAATTTGAGAGGATCACACAAATCATTGCGACAGATATCCTATTATAGAATTTCTACGGCCACTGGGATTGTAAGTTACGCTGAATATCCTACGTTTTCATCTATGATCACGATCAATCATATAGGCAGTTACTAAATCTACTATTTTCAGTGATGAGAAGCATAGTAGTGTTTAGGATGGAACATGAAACATGCGCTTTGTTTATGAGCTCTGACATAAGAATAAGCAATAAGCCTAGAGCGAACTCATGTTTCTAATTGCATTGATACAAAGTAGTGGATCTTCAGGGTCATAGTAATAACATAAGTGACAGCGGGGACAGTGATAGGGAAAACGAATCATAAGATTCGTTTTCCCTATCAACTGTACATTGTTGGTTTACATCTATATACCACTGCTGAAGAGTGCTTCCTTTTTCCTCCATAAGCTTGTTAAACCTGCACTATGTAAGCGAACATAATTTTCACATCAAGCTTAGGCTTCAAATATGGACGCCTCTAGGTGACAAAATGCAACCTCGATACCTCCTAAATTTCGCTGTTCACCGAAATCAAGAAAACTGGAAAAGCCCCCACAAACGAGACAATCCAACAAAGAAGGCACGATCGACAGAGCGAAAACATCCTTGTCCACGACATTGCCAGGCCCTAGCTTGTTGCGGCAAAGGCTGTTGAAGCTCCTTTTGTGGGAGATTATTTTGTACTCATTACGTTTTCAAGGACCATGTGCTGACGGATTACTACCTCTTCCGATCAGTGGCAGACGAGGCTCGAAGCAGTACGACCGATACTGTGGAAAGCCCCAAAACTCCCTTCAGATTAAACCTAACAATTTCCGGAAAGACTAAATATATAAATCATTTAAAAGGTAGGAGAAGGCTGTGGTAAGGGAAGACACATGGTAAATGAGTTTGTCACAAGGAGTCGATTAAAGAACTGCGTCTTTGAAACAAAATGCCGCCTTTATGTTTCCACGTAATGTTTCAAGCACTCTAAATTGCTTAATTCAAAACATTACGTAATCTAAAGCGTCAATTAGTAAAAGAAGTATATGTTTATATTTACATGCACCTGGCCTATCTAACATTTTGTGTAACCTCAAAATGTTTTCGAGCGTTTACCCTAATCGTGAGCAGATTTATACAATTCTATATATCGGGCTCATATCAGTAGAGCAAATTACTGTGTGCCATGCGTAAGAGTTAGCCATTAAATTAATATCTAAATATTAGCTTGTTATCGTATTTGACGTTGATTCTATTTAACGGAAATGAAACACTTTTTCCACCCAAGTAGCACATCGTGCAAATGTGCAAACACATCTATATATATATATATATACATATATGCATCAGTTACGATAGTAATTCAAGCGTATCGCGTCTAGTAAGAAATAAGTCTTCATTCAAAACTATGATATGAAGGTAATAAATACATAGACATAGCTGTACATAACACAGTTTGTTGTGTGGCTGGCAGTAAGAGGAAACGCAAATAGCCAAGGACGTAGCTTACAGCGTTGCTGAGACCGCTACCATTCTCGAATTTGAAGCTAAGCCATCAGGTGCCCAAAAGTTAGCACTTCACTGTCACGAGAACCACTGCTACCATTACTGAAAACGTGAACGTACCCTGTCATTGTCGCCATCGGTGACTGTCTTAGGCGTTTTGCCCGTGCGTTCTCTGCTTCATTCGTTCGTTCTTCCTTATATATATATAGTTGCTGATAGCTAAGTATCGTAGGGCGTATTCATGGCTCCATAGGCAACTACTGCCTGATTCACCACTGTTCTAAGCTGCTCTCTGCGGCGAAGCGGACTGAATCTCCCTACAGGCTTAATCAACGCCAGCGGCCTTTTTTCGGTCGACGGGGCGGCTTTCGGCCGATCACTAAAAAGGTTCAAGTCGTTTTACCAGCACAGCAGCACAGACATACTATTCTTCGCCTTTGTATCGGTCCACTAGCGTGGGTCTCTCTCTGCCCCCGGCTAGATAGCTAGTCGCTGCGCTGCTGTCGTCCGGCCGCGGCTGCCTGCCGCGTGTTGGCTCAACCACGGTTTAGGGTAAAACGGGTGCCTTACCGAGCCTGCAGCAGCAGTGGACAAGCCTGTGGAACGGGTCTATGATCTGTTGCGACCGACAGTTGGTTCATCGCCGCAGCTCGGCCGCCACGAGCGCTGCAGCCTTTCCAAAAGCTGCGTTGGCCGCCGGGGGTTGGTTTCCCATGTGCGTCACTGAGGCGGAAGAATTCTACGTGAAAGCAAGCAGACAATGAGCTACTGTGACACTGTGTCTTTTGGTTGATGGTTCATTTGCTGAGTTGCTGGTGGATTTGCGTAGAGGCGCACTCCACGGAGAACGACCGTAGCGGGTAGGGCATGAGGTATGGATGCGGGCGCAGAATTGGATTGAAAATGGGCGCTGTTGCAGATGGTAGCCTAACCCTCCATGGTGCACGCGTCTCCCATTAAGAAAATAAATCGCCTATGTACGCTCTTTTTGGTGAACGGCTATGTAAGCTGCAGTCTACGGAGTCGCACTGAAATAATGTTTAATGGAAGTAGCGTAAAAGAAAATTCAAACCGTTTACTTACGCCTGCAGAGTTACTATTTTGAGACAGATTCGAAATAAGCGACTTGGTGACGTAGCGATAGTAAGCTAGGATTCTTTCAGGTTCCAAATGCTTGACGTTCAAGCGCACGTTTGTTCCACATGATTATAGGTTAAAAACAAATAAAATGTTTTTAAAAAAAATCACACTAAAGCAGTTTAGTATTAGCGGCCCCTTAAAAAAACCTGTAGTATGCTGGAGACTGATTTAGAACTGTGTGTCATAATTACCTATTTATTACAGATAGGCAGTATACTAATATTTATTTCGGTAACGCAAAACTGTGTGCGGCAAAATGATATGGTTGTTCGAATATTTTGAAAAATTCGTATATTATTTGATACATTCGTATATGTTTCATCTCCAGCCAAAAATCAACTCATATTGCAGCCATTTCCGATATAGAATAAAGTAAATTTCATTCATAGCCAGGCGAAATTCGGGTCAGAGATCCTTTTCTACTTATAGTGTATCTCGGTGCTCGGCGGAAGTGACGAGCATCACGGGCAGCGCCCCTTGCTAAAAATAGACTATCAAAACCTATTTCCTGACGGATGGTAAAAGTTTTAATATTAAGGCCATTACTTACCGGTGAAGTTTACGTTTTGAGTTGAATATTACGCCATACACTGCGAGAGATGCGTTGTGCCTGCCCTAAGTTGCGCTTATATATGTATGTGTGTGCCTATATATGTGCATATCTGGATGTCGTCGTCGTCCTCGTCGCTCGCAGATGCGCCGCTCGTCACTAATCGCAGTGGAGTCATGAAGTCGACCGCGTCAGTGATGACGGCGCAGCACCCGTACCAGGTCCAAATGCCAGGTTCAGCGGGTCCACAGCTACACATGGCAGCCGGACCCATACCGACTTCGGGATACCCAGGTAAGTATTCCAGACTTATATACCTGCAAGTATATATATATATTTTATGCATTTGCTCAAAGTGTTTATGCGAAATATATATATATATATATATATTATAATAATAACAACAACAACGAGGCTATAATTTCAATAACAGCGCTATCGAAACGTATACTAATAAATAATGCTTCAATGCAATTAGCTGATGTGTACCTGCATCAGGTCTACTCACCAACATATGAAGCGTTGAAGGGGCGGACGGGGCTTCCTCTTGATCGCATTTATCACTGGCATACATCGTACGGTATAATGGAATTGCAATGGTGTTTATGCCTTTGTTAGTTGAAGTCCCTATGGTCCATTTGTGATAAGGGCTATCAATCAGATTGTATCGTTAAACAGACACACCCGTAAACACGCGTTCGAGCATGTTTCACGACGGCTTCTTGTTGCGCACTGACAAAGCCTCAACGTTGACCTGTGCATAATGGGGTCGTTTGCTCGGACGTCCTGCTTTTTTTAGCAGATAAGTCTATGGCTACAGCTCTAAAAGTTCCGCGCTTTGTCTGATTCTGTCTCGATAAACTATTACAGGCTATCCGTATTATCCGTCGACAATGCCACAGCAATTCGTGCAGCCTAACGTGCTGGCATCGCAATTCCCCCCGATGCAGCCACACGTCATCCCGCAGGCAGCCACACCCACCCAAATACCGGCTCCCATCCAGGTGTATAGTGGTATTTTATCGAATTTCGAAATTGCCCGTTCCCATTCCGTCTAACCTGGCTAGTTTGCCTAAGCGAAACTTCGAAATCGAAACTCTAAGGGAAGGGACACAGGCAAGATCCTGTTTATCCGTTCGTCCGTCGATCATTTATTTCGTAGCCGTCGCGTAGCAGTTTCTTTCTTTTACTTCGATCTCCAGATCTCAGTAGCAATAACACCAGTCGATGGTTCTGCATACAGACTGATTGCTTGAGGAATTGCTGTTGTGGCCAGGTTACTTCGACGCCTCGTAGATGCTGGTTTAGCTGCAGTTGTTTTCGGTCGTATATCTACCACGCTATCCTCAGTGCGCAACCCCTTATTCTCTTTTTTGCCTTTTTTTTTCTCGCAGCAAATGGCTGCTCCTTTCCAGCCTGGCATCGCGCCACCACCATTGACGCCGCAGAGTCAGACTGTGATCGGCTCCGGTGGCCTAGGCAGTCAACAACTGGCGCCTTCTGCTACGGGAGCATCCCCACCGTCACAATCGGGATCTAGCCTACCCACACCACGTCCGCCTTCTGCTGTCGATTCCGAACGACCGCAGTCTGCACCCGATCACCATCAAGGCTCCCAACCAGGAGTCCTTCACGATGATCCGTTTGATGACCAGTATGACCATCGTTGCTCACTCTGCATTGCCGCTTGGGGATTCTCTTTCCTCTGCGGTCTAACAGGCGCTGCTGGCGCCCTATTCGTACAGCAAGGACACACTTTCTCATTTAAGGTAAACTGTATTCTCCTTATTTTGCAGCCTTATTCTAGATATAACAGCTAGATGCTGCCATAGCCGCCGCCATCGTCTGCCCACAGCATTGGTCTAACGCAATACGTACCTGTGGTGGTCCGCCCCTGACGTAAAGCAAAGTCGCGCAAGTGGCCAATTCTCTTGAAAATCCATATAGTGTTTTACCTTTTGCTTTCACCAGCATTATTTTTCGTACCATAATCTCGTTCGCTTGCTATTTAGCCATTACGCCCCAATACTACCTTCAAGGTGTCGATAATCTCAAACAGTGCTACAAGGCTGTCGAGAAATGACTGTCATAAGACGAAAAACTAAAGGTCTTGCCATTCGGCTACCTAAACTAGGAATTTAATTCATAGCCTCCTTATGTCACCGATAGTAAGCATCTTTATGCAGTATAAATATGCTGTGGCAAAGACGAGTGGATGAGCGGACGTTCGATCGAGTGTACAGATGGCGTGGCATACAGGCATAGTCGTGCATTAGCAGCCGGAGAGACGGCGCTTCGGTTGCAGGTACCGCGAAAGTCCGTTGTTTATTTAAGTGGGGTTCCGAGAGGAGGGCGGAGGAAGAAAACGAAAAAAAAAACGAAGCAATATTGAGGAAGGATCGCGGTTACAAGGAAGTTAAATGATGGTCAAACGTTCACTGTTCGACGCGGGCAGCTTGACAGAGGAAGGATTGATGAACTTTCTTACAGCTGAACTAAAGCACACGCGCCAATGCTTCAATGGCAAACCAAAACGTGTCAATGATACATCGCAAAGTGCACATTGAACCTGTTATAAATAAATACAGATTGAATATAAAATGGAGCCATTTGAGAAGATATTTCAGGTTTAGGTAGTAGTCGTTTAGCTAGCATATGGTTTTAAACCGTACATGTTAGCATCGGCTTGCCTTAAGTATGTAGCCATCCCATAAACAATTCATATTGAATATAGTCAACACTGAAATGCTTCAATGCTGCTTTTTGGTCCCTTTCTTCTGCTCAATGCATATAGACACTGGGATTCGTGCTATTGTCGGTTAGTATTCTGCTATTTCTATCAACGTTCCTGTTCCTGCCAGCATCCAGCAAATACGCGAACAAGATGCCCGTGCATCGTCAATGCCTGCCATTCCTACTTGTGGTCATTGCGTCCGGTGAGTCATCCCGCTTAAGTCTTCCCTCATTGTCATTTTCATCACCATTATACTCTGTCATCCAGCAGCGCGCCCAGCAAATAATTATCTTATGTATTATTTTTGGCATGTGATATAGACAGAATACAACGTTTTGCGCGTTCAGGTAGCTAGATATAACTAGACGAGCTCAGCGACATAATCATACTTTCCCAGTATTTAAGCCCAGACGGTTTATTAGCCCTGAGTTGCTAATGTAATCTCACCTGCCTTACATAGCTCGACTATAGTTTTCGGAACCCTATTCTTAGCTTCTCCATTAGACCGAACACAGACGGCGTATAATGATACAGCCATGCAACGTGGCAAACCAACCTTGCAAAGTCAGCAACGATCGAGTGGGTCTAAATGTTGTTATGTCTATGTCTATGTCTGTATTAAAAGTACCACAAACTGACTTAACGAAAATCAAGAACTACACTGAAACTGTCTCAGGAGCAATTGCGATATAGCAATAATGTACTACAGCTACGGAAGCATAGGCCGGCCTGTTTGCAGTACCAGATCGTTTTGCGGAAGGTGTAGGCTGCTAGCACCACGTCGAAGAAACAGGAAGTCGCCTTTGCATTTTATTATCATGTTTATCGTAGAGCACTTATTTACCTCAACAATTCCTGTCTGCTCTATGGTAGGCAGCAGGCAAAAGACATTCTGCTCCCTCATGGAAAAAGGACCGCCTGTGTCCTGCGTTCATTGACATCACCGCAATGGACTTTCGCTCTCTCGCAAACCCCTTTTCACTTCAAACGAGCTTGCTGGATCGTAGAATGTCTTTTTCGGTGTATGTGAGCAATGGCTCACAGTATATAATAGCATTTGGCATCTGATAAAGTGGTTACTCGGGATCTTAGCTTACTGTTATTTACCTCTTCGGCGTTAGATGTGCAGGGGGTTTCCTTGTTACAGAGTACGCATAATAGCCAGCGAAAATGTGCTGATTTATGATGATAGCTGGCCGTTTTTATAGCCGACGCTCTTCTGCAATCGTACTGATTATGAGATGCTCAAAGAGAAATGTTGTCAATTTCAGTTTATAGTACTATTCCGTTTTACTATTTGTAACGGTATAGGTGTGCGAAATGATCACACTGTTGAATCACTGGATGGAAACAACGACCAAAAATTCAAACGAAATTGTCGCTTGTTATAAGAGCTATCAGTTTTTCGCCGGTAGCATTTACGACACTAGACTTTGGCTGACAATGTTAGATGTTTCCTTCGATTCAAGTTCGACTCCATTGAATGAATGAGTCACCCTGGATAAAACCACGTGTATCTGGTTTCTTTTATTTCATCTTTGATCCGTTTACCTGCCCAGGCGAGATTTGTTGGGTGGTGTACCTGATCAGTGAGGGCGGAGCGGAGGGCAAAGGTATTCTGGTGGCCCTCGCTGCCTTTCTTGCTCTTTTCTGGCTCGCGCTTTGGAAGATCATGTGTCTACGGTGCTGTTGTCACCGACGGAGGATCTGCGCCCAAAAGAAGGCCCAGGCACGCCTCGCACAACAGCAGCAGCAGGCGAGCAGCAAACGGAGATCCGCAGGGAAGAGACGCGGTAGTACCGATCCAGAGGAGTTCGAGACAGATTTTCATCATGTAAATACACAGGTTAGTAAGGCTGCCATTCCTTTTTTAGTCTTTTCCCGCTTCTGTTAGGCAAATCATTTTTCTCAAATTTGTGGTCCTGATTTGAGCGTTTTTTTCCGTGCAAGGGTCTATTGTTTATCATGTTTTTCGACGATAACCAATGCACGACTCAAACGGAAATTAATAACGCTATAATTATGAATAAAAGTCTGGTCCAATGATACATTCTACATGTTTTGTTATGTTGCTCAATTTTAACGCTCTTCTTCAAGAAACCGTACTTACCATGCTTCCCGGATGCAGTAATGGCAATAACACGATACGAAGGCAGAGGGAAGACATATGCTTTATTATTATCAGGAACGATGAAGGTTGTTCAGGTGACTCAAAGATCGCCGTAGTAAAGGTTTTGCTACGGACACTCCTTAATATTTGACCGACTTAAGACCGTCCACCAGGGAGCGCCACTTGTCTTTATTGACATAAGCCGGCTAGTATAGGCAACTGCCTATTTTACTACCCTACTCATCCTATTTCATGCGATGCGCTCCCAAACCCGTCCTATGCCCACGTTCTCGGTCGCGATGGGCTTTGAAGAGCACCTTGAAAATGATTGCCTGTCAGCCTGCGTGGCGTAGGGTGTTACTGCGTGACACACGACACCCCCGAGGACCTCAAGGCATCCGAGCCAACTGAAATCTCAGGGCTATGTCTTACGGACCATGCTCCATTATGGGATTAAAGAAGGGTGGGTCTGTGCAAGTATGTAGAAAACAGGCAACCGATAGTCGGCCGCTTGACTAAACCCCCGATGGCGCTCTAATGATGAGATTACACTAGTCGGATGGGCGAATCTTTGAAAGTTGAATAGGCAAGAAAACCACTAATCTACCTGACTAAAACAGACAGAGGAAAAGACACAATCAGGTATCGGGCGAAAACTCGCAATACCGTAAGCCGAACCTTATAGAATCTAGACCTACATTAGGTAAAAATAATGTCTAACCTGTCGTTGAGCAGGTCTGAGTAGACTGCTTGTAGGTTGCTGTAATGTCTGTCTCTTATATTGTTGAATATAGTACTCCACTATCGAGAATCGTGCGTGATCTGTGCGTGAACTAGGTTGATACTTAGCATCATTTAATTGAGCTGCGATGTGTTTTAAATCGCAAACAACTTAGAGTTATTATGATTAGCTGATTGAAACAAACAGAAGACGTGTTTTTGTCAAACTTTTAAGAATTGTTGTGTAGAAGTGATATTAAAACTTTGTAGTGTTCGATTAGAAAACAAACCACTTCCAATCTGCAATCGGAAAATTAGCTGACGACTCCATTCTCAAGACTGGAAATCTGCAGCGACACGTTCCCTCATCTTAAATAATTTTTGTGTTCAAGAAGCTTAAAATGCGTAATGTACACGATAAATTTATACACATCGAAATACTTAACAGCTACTTGAGTAGAGTGTTCGAAATTTCTTAGTGAATTAAATGAAAAGATCCTTAGGTCGATCTCGAATTCTAAATCATATTAAAATGTCTGTCTGACCGACTAAGCCGCTCTCGAAAATGACTCCACGATGTGTATGTATGGACATGCAACGACCGTCGATACAGTTTGAAGTACCACCTATTGGACATTTTCAGTGGCAAAATGAATAGTCCTACTGCCTCATAACTGCTCAGAAGGTCAAAGAGGTTTGCATTATTAAGGCCTAGCTAAATGACGACTGCTGAATAATCGAATAACGCTAAATTATCCCGGGTGGTCGGATTGTCCGAGGAGTTCACCAGTTGAGATTTGTGACACCATGACATGTGCTTATCTTTCTGGAATCAATATAGTCTGCAATCTAGCTGATGATCTGGTAATTTACTACTGCTTAAGTTTAATTACCCCACACAAAATTTAAAGTGACAGAACGTCTTAGATTCTTTTGCAGAAGTTGGTGCTACACTCGCTCTCGTAGAAGATCCAAGCGTATCTATCTAAGTTACGAAGAACTTAGGTAGCTCTTCCATCCAAAACTGGGCATGCATCTAAATAGGTGATACATAATTCCTGCTATAATACACGCTTTATCTACGTGGAGTGTAGATCAGTGTCAGAAACTCGGGAGTGAACATAACCAGAATCCTAATGATGGGTACGGATTTCATATGACAAATCTCTTATCACTGTGATTATTACCTCAAGTATGACGATAAGGAACATTATGGTAAATGCGTAAACAAATTCTAGTATGTATCGAAAAAGCTACTACTTAGAAAAGGTACTTAATGAACGGCCTGTTTGGTCTATGCATCACAACGGTCCCTACTAATCTTTTATATATTTTTTACACCTTTATAGTGAAATAAAGCAGATTATAATTAATCTTATTACTAAAAACAAGAATGCCTGCACAGTAGAGGTGACAGTGACAACAAACAGATACTTTAGTTCGGCTAGTGAGTTTTCTGTTAATTTAGGTAATTTCTATCCTTCTAGGTCATTCAAAATGTTACTTTTTTGGCTTTCTTCCACGAATATATTTTATGCAGGTCCGTGAAACTCTTCGCAACCGTTTCAACGAGAGCATCTTACAGCAGAGCATCATTCAGTCTGCAGCTCCATCGATGACTATTGGCGGTGAGGGACCGACGCTGGCAATCGTTGCCGCCGGTCCCCAGCCGCAAGGAAGCCACGCCCCAAGTGCGCCCCCTGCTGACACGCCAGCAACTAGCCATGGTCCTAACAACACTGGCACACTCACCACGTTCGGTGGAACCCAAGGGGTATCAACAACAACTGCGACCTCTGGTGGAGCCTCAGGACCAACGACCAGTGGTCAAACCACTGGTCAAGTGCACGACCCTCCACCTTACGACGCGGTGTACAGAAGAACGCCCCCGCCCCCCTATTCAACGCTAGTCTAGTAATCCAACCAGAGTCCAATCCGGCTAGTTGTTATCGAGTCATCTTTACTTCAGGAGCGCTAACCCGCTCTCAGGCATGTTTGTAGAGCCGTTGGCTTCGAAAAAAGGATGACTGACATTCTTTCCACTAAAGGTATGACATTTCCGTTAAACAGGTATGACATCCCGTCGAAGCAAAGTAGGTTGGCTGGCTTGGGCCTGGAGCTGCTTTGTGTTGCGCGCCGATCCTCGTCGCCTCCTATAGTTCTGCTCCGCGTCTCATTAGCATACGCGACCAAAGGCCACTCAGGAACCTAAGAATTAAGACAAGAAGACATCTCAGTTATTTAGCAGAAAAGGTCACTGCGTCATGAAAGCCCCCTGGCAACATAATAACCAAATAATAGTAGTGACATCTTTTAAATCGTCGTTGGAAGCCTGATAATGTATTACGCAATAGGGAAAAAATGAAAGGGTGAAATTAGACGGATAACGAAAAATAATTTCGAAAGGATTGATTCCATTATCCAGGAAACCTTTGCGTTCCAGTTATCTGCCGAGTTTGTCGGCCTTGTCTTGTGTATGCCATGACAGTATTAGAGGGTTGGGGATACGGCGCGATTATCCTTCCGTGACCCACTAAACACCCACTTTTCATCCCCATGGTTGTCTAGACCGGGTTCTGAAAAGATGAACAACAGCAGAAGTGTGAGTGTTTCATGATGCTGGTGATGGCATTGACTCTGAGGTGACTTTCGAAAACCTAGGTTGTTTGTGCATCTCATCTATGACACCCGGTTCAATTGACTTCTGGGAACTCAGACCGCGATGATGCCGCCGACGGCCCAGCGGCATGTTCCATGAAGACCAACTTGACAAGACAGAATCTAGCTATATGTTCCATGAAGGGTATGTCGTAATCGCGACTGTGCTCTGACTATTCATCACAACTAGGCATGCGGTATGTTTATATATATATATATATACAATGTACCATATGGCATACACAAAAGGATGAAGAAACGTCGTGAGCCATTTTCGACGGTTGCGGACGATAGTGTTTTTTAGATTTTAATGGCAATGCTAAGCGGTCCAGGTTCCCATGCTGGCATTAATTATGATGTTCTTCTGACGGTCTCACTGCGCCCAAGGCTGTGGGTTTGCACATATTGCGAAGCGCCACAGAGAAGAGGATCGCTCGTATCGTTACTTCTTCCGTTTATGATTAACAGACGAGAATACGTACGTAGACGTTTTCAGGAGGTAATTCATGAGCTGCCTCAGATCAAACGACACTCCACTGTCGGGAGTAGGTTTATTAATGACTAGGGACAAGCAAATTGTTCAATTAAATGATCACTTAATTAAAAGTCTATTCCATGTTCTAACAAAGCTACATGACATCAAATTCCGTAAGAACTGAGTGTTATTAAGCTGTTACAAATGAATTCGGCGAACTTTGAAACTGAATGGCTTTAAACTCTGCGCTACTAGCAGACGAGTGGCGCGTAAATACCCCAATCTTCTAGAAATTTATGTCTAACCACCGGTTGAGTTCGCCCCCCAAGAAAGATGAGATCTGAAGGAAAAATATGTTTTAGACTAGAAAATCAGCACTTAATGGTCAAGCTTTTGTTCCTCTGAAATACCAGTGCCCTATTCGAAATTCGTCCAAGACTGACGGAGACATTAGGCAGGAAGACATTAAGCGAAAGGACAGCAAGTTAATGGTGCAATCATTTCAAGAGCAAAGATTGAGGTGTCAAAGACCAATAAGGAGGTGACCAGATGCAGGGATCCGGGGGACAACAGCGCGTTGCCGCAACCGAGAAGGCTTTTCACGAACGAACGTAAAGCTTGGACTTACTCTGTCGGTCAAAACTGGCACTTTACACGTCACGCGCTACAGAACTACAACCCAAATACCGAAAATGAGCTAATTCAGTAAGAAACCCACCCCTTATGAACTGACTCCAGATATACATGCCTTTTACGTGCTATTTTCGCGTTTCAAGTTTTATCTTCGCTATCGTCATGAAGCGTTCCATATGACGGCTGGCTACCAGCACGAAGCGAAAACTGTCTACGCCTGAGTTCGAACCTAGACTATAGCATATTCCGAAGATTAACACGCAAATACTTTACCCACCAAGCTATCACGAAAACGTGCATCTTGAGGAACTTTATTCAGTAGAAATTTCGCCTGGAGCATACGGTCGTCATAGGCGAGGTATAGTTCAATCTCTGTCGCCCGCCGGAGAAAAACCAGCCACGAGAATGGCGCTTTCCCAGAGAGAGATAGAGCTCAGTGGCAGTGTCGGATGGATTTGAAAGTGCAGTGATGACAGTACCTAATGAACATTAGGCACATCTGCTATGAGATGCTGGCCAAAGCTAAAATAAAAAAGGCAGCTTCTTATTCCGAGTTCTTCAAGAGATTCATAGGCCGTCGGTACCGCAATCGAAAGCATGCAGCCTAGTTACTTAATGACAATGCCAAATTTCATTGCCATGCTTCGGTTGCTTCCTGTATTGAGCAGACGAATATTGGAAGCGTTGCGACAACCGTGTAAAAATAAAGGAAGGTATCTCTAGCATATTGAAAAAAATATCATTATAGCCCAACAAGTTTACAGATGATTCATTTCAAAGTCACCGGATTCGCTTGTGACAGCCTAATATCAACAAAGGCATATTCCCGTCGATGATATTGACATACAGATAGGTCATAAACAACAAATAATCCCTTAACTAATAGGGTAAAGAAAAGATCAGTTTTTAAAAATCAATTCTAAATACGAGTAACTATTGTTACTGCTAACTTGTTTTTGGCATTCCACACAGTTATTGTATATTTGTCTATATGTAAAGTAGGATACCCAGCTGAATGTCTCCATTTTGACGGGATATCGACTTGCTAAGAAACCTTTTGTACCTCATGCTACGTCAGATCTAACATCCCGATGAGCATGAACCTATTAAAAGAAGGAAGACCTATAAAACAACCGAGAAAAAGCTACGACAAAAGCATTCGTCAAAGGTTCTTATTGCCGCGCTATAACCACAGCAAATAGGCAGACGTTCACGTTGTGCTCTATTTCACGTGTATGCGCTTGTCCAAGGTCGTATGATTACATCGTTCAACTGCATAAACATGCAAAACGTGCGGATAGCAAATATCGTCCGGTGATTGATCGACGACAATGAAACAAAAGGAAACATTAATAATTTAAAGACTCTTGAGTAATTATGCACGACGATGCCAGAGAACAAAATGATCCGGACGAGTTGAGCACAAGGTTCTCCTGAGCCTCCGATACCAAATATAGATTGACTTTAGGATCCTTTAAGGTCCTTTTGCAAAGTACCGGGTAATTGTGCCGATGGTGCGAATGCTAACTGAGATGGTGATGAAGCATTCCACTGAGATATTTAGATACTAAAACAGCAGAGCGTATTGAAGAAGACAATGCACTCAGCGTGAAGAATCAGATACACAAGGCAACCAGATAATACCTGTACATATAATCCTGTCCTTCTACATACAGATGTCCTACATTCGAGTATGATACGTTTTTGTAGTAGACTTTCGACGCTCCCAGCCTGATCAGGGAATTTTCTAATTCTGATTTAGTGATGCGTATGCTAGTTTTTGTGATTCACTGCATCTGTGCGGAACAGTTATTTCCGTGTGTGCGCGCCATTAACACACACACACACACACAATAAACTGGTATTGTTTTTTTGCTCGAGTAATAGATTTTTTCGCTTAGAACGATAAAACTGACCGATCGCTTTGAATCGACTATAATGACGTTGTGCTAGAGGGGGGCAAACTATCACTCTCGTCGAAAATGGTCTGCTCTAGCGAATGCTCGGTGACATAGAAGAACACGCATGGCAGTCCTGCAACAGACAATGTAAGGCAATCAAAGGTTTTTTTTTGAGGGGCGGAGTCGATGGTAAACACAGTCGACAATTTAGTGGATAATACAAAGCAGAAAGGGAACATCGGACTGGCAGATCATGAGATTCATTGAGGACATCAACGATCATGTATATATATATATGTATATATATATATTACAGTTAACGCTATAAACGAATTATATTGTGACGATGTGGTTCGTATTCATACCACGGCAGAAAGAAAAGTCTGAGTAAGAAACAAAATGTTGGCGAATTAATATATAAATTCGTAAATAAAAACAGTTTGGCTATCTGCGGCGGGTGGGTGTGAAATCGCACAACTAATAATGGCACAAACCAACTAAGCACGGCAAAAACAGGGCACGGAGGAATTTTTTCATGATGCCAACAACATGACGATGAAGCTATAAGCGAAGAGAGAGTCGGATCGAAGCTGTAAATAAGCAGGTAGTAAAGGCTAGTTAAGAAGGACATGAGGACTTTTACCGCCGGACAACATAAAAGGAACGAGAGAATCTCACACAATCCGACGGACGACAACGATAAAAACAAAACGCTCGTAAGTTTTTTGCAGGATACATTTTACACATTTTGCGGTAACGACAAACTATTTGGTAGTTTAATGGTGACGGTCCGAAAACGAGATGGACTGTGATGAGCGACAATGCCGAGAAAATTAATTCATCGACTGAATGATACAGAAATATTTGAGCAGTTACCAAAGTTTATCATATCTAATTATAATAAACAACACCCTACAACTATTACTGAGTTATATTGAGATTGATAATAAACTACGTTTTTGTATATTCATCAAATGTTGTCTTGCACAGAGCGATCATTTACGCATTACGTTAGTATCGATGGAATACGGAAAAATGTATAGTGTAGTCAATCGATCGACGCGTTTAGGAGACGTTGCTTGACGTCATCGTACTTCGTAGAGACGATGATTAGCAGAAAACGCTACACAATAGCGTAGAAATCCAAGGAAACTCCGGACTGGTCCGTCTGCAGGTGGCTACGAAATTTTATATTTGAATAAAATTGACTTTTCTTCTAGTTCCTAATTGAATATACCTGTATGGCTCGCAGGACATTTTTTCTGTAAAGACCAATTTCTACAACGGTATTGCATGCTGCTATGTAGAATTTGAGTAGTACCGAGTTAATTCAAATATAAGTAAAACGTGTGTCATAGAAACGAGAGATCATTTGCTCATTAGCGTCCGTTATAAATAATAATTATACTAGCCATACAAAGCAGCTGACAAACTGTATCCCCTTTTCCAACGTTTCGTACCAGGGTACTCAGGGTTTCATACCAGGAAACTCTGAATGTAGTCTGCATTCACAGATATGTACTGAACTACCGACGACGTCGAAAAACGGGAAGAGAGTGACCTGTAAGAGCATCCTTGGGGGCTGCCTAGGAAAAACGTCCCAATTTCGGCTACGGTCATCAGCCGCAGCTTACGTTCTGGCATGTTAGTTAATGGCAAATGAATTTGTGTCTAATTTTAAACAGTCTTGAATGGCATATCAGTAATTTCTGATACGTTCTCGACTCTCTTTTTGGACGACGGTCACGTTTTTCTAATTCTAACATAACACTGCTAAACAGTTTGACAGGAGCTCTTTAGAGCTATTCATCGTATGAACATATACTCGATATATTATGTACCCTGTAAGCTTACCATGGTGCAGCTTCTCTAGAAATGATACAACTGGACACCTAGACATGCTGCATTTTGCTATCCGGTATAGCATGTCGATCTCCGGAGTATTTAAGCATTAGTTAAACCAATTGCGTGTTATCGGCTGCCTCGGTGTCTCTGATGCTTTAGAACCATCGCTTGTTTTAGTTAATAACCTGACACAGTGCGCACAGATCGTTCAACGGTCTTGAAACTCCATCCATTAATCGCTCCTCCCCCTTTTTGTTAATCTAACTTTGTCCAAAATTCTGCCGCCTTATCAACAACTATTATATGGATTTTTTGTTATCTTCTTATGGCTCCGCCTACCAGCATCTTGAGCTCCTCCTTCCACTTAGCTGCCCTCTGATGAGCGCCTCCTTCGTGCGACAAGACTCGTCCAATAAACGCAGGGCGACCAACTAACCGCGCGTAGACATTGGATTTAAAATTTATCGTCTGTTCCCCCACAAACGATTTTACCTGTAAAGGTGTCCAGAGCCAAAAGTACCTTGTCGAGCTACTTGCGCTAGTGGCTGATATTCAAACAACGATTACTTCGGTTATTACTTCTAGCGGTGCGCGACCACTCGGTGGAAAAGAGCGACTCCCAATGGTGATGCAGTACTGCCTGTCAATCGGTTAAAGTGAGCGGTAGTGATGGTGACGATGATGAACGTATTTGCGAAGTCCGCCGTCTCGTAATATTGGGTTTGTCTTCGCCGCCGACTCTGGAAAAGTAGATTTTGGACAATGGTTCTGCCTGGGTCGGACTTGTCGAAATTTGCCGGATTTCATGTGCAGCTTGGTGAGTCGTCGAGACGACTAGTTACATAACTGTAGAGTGGCCATTTAAGCGACGGATCTGCCAAGGTGTGTGATCTTTGCGAAGTATTGTTGTGGTTATCCATCGTTGTTGCCCTACCCCGAAGTTCGAACAACTTAATTCAAGAAAAACTTAATAACTGCTACCACAAAATCAGGTAAAGAATTATACGAATAAGGCTAGCTTTTGGTCTTCCGATTTCCACCTGATATCAGTAATCATCAAATAAAACCATAACTCGGTTACAAACACATTTCCCCTAAATTGATTACAGATTTTTTATAGAGAGCGCCACCATTCGCAGAACTCGGGTGATATACAGCAAATTATTGAAGTCTGTCTTAACGAAGTCATTATTAACCTCAACTGAGACACGGAGAACATTTGCTTTTTTGTCACTTTTTCTACCCTTGCCGCTTTACAACATTAACTTAGACTAATACGTAAATAATCCGTGGTTGTGTGGCGACGCGTTGCGAAAACAAATGACCCTAGTTAGCGAAGTAATCCAACTGAATGTCCAGTTCTAGCTATCGAAATTGAAAAAAATCCTGGGTCTTAATCCGACCCAGACAGCCACTAGCTATCAAATTGGCCTAGTATACAAATGGAAAGTACTATTATAATTTGCTCTTTCGACTAATTACTCTGTGTATCCTAGCGGCATTCGTGTCAATACATTGCTTGCCTAATTTTTAGTTAGCCAGCTGGCTAGAAATCGACTGAAGTAAGCTTTAAGAAAAGAAAAGGAACGGAAACCAGCGATTAGAAAAGTCATTCATTCTACTGTCATTGATGTTCCTCACTGTTGTCTAGGATTTTATACTTTAATAATTGTGGTAATCAAATGTTTAGACAGAGGAATCTATAGTAGTCTTCAACTTGTACGTGCTATAGGTCCGTTTTCTTATACTCTGCTGTGCTTCGAAACTTAAATTAGGAAGACGGCACATGTACCCACTTGAATTGGTCACTGATTTGGTGGAGAACCTTTAAGCTTCTTCTTGGTATTGGGTATTTGTTTCTGCTTGCTAATGGGAAGCTGTTTTAACTATCATTTTGCAATGGAAAGAGCCAATTTTTGTAACTGATGTCTGAATTACCCATAATAAAAGAGTATGGACTTCAAGTACAAATTGCAACTAAGTGTCGACAAAAGGAACAGCACCTCATCTCAGATATGAAGTTTTAAAGGATGTAACTAACTATCGGCATAATTAGGTGACGTTTTGGTCGAATGTGCTATTTGAATGTGCTTAGTATGTATTTAAGTGAATAGATGTTTCCTGTCTGATGAAAATGCTGCCATACAGGGATGCTGCCTAACTGCCATGGCGTCTGCTCATTTAATTAGTTTCTTTGTAGCTTCGCAAGAACCAGCATGCACAAACCATTCTTAAATAAATAAGCTTTTCAGAAGCGCGAATTCTAGCTCGCTTTTACGATATACAGCCATTAGGTACATTTCGGTGATGGAGGAGAGGGTCGTAAGGCTGGTATTTTAATATAATGTTGCAAGAACTGAACATTCGTGCAAAAGATACTTCTACACAATGAGAGTTTGAAAAGAAGCCTTGCAGTAAGGAAGTGGTATGGACAAGTCTGTTTACGTGCGGTCCTCGTTGGGTGAGGCAAGACGAAAAATGTAAAATAAAAATAGTAACTAAAAGTTCATCAAGGGGGCAGGTGAGTGTAGTAGTGCCAAAAGTATAACTTTGCTTAAGGAAAATGACAGGAAAGATAGGAATTTGTGTACGTGTCACAGATGTGTTGACGTGCGATTTTTAAGAAAACGAACGATGAGCCAAAAACGCGAAAACAGGAAAATTTCCTGAAGACACTAGGGTGGAGGTGCTATTCATTCAGAAGATACGACCTGGTCCTTAAAAAATTAAGGCCACCACCTGGGATCTCATCAAGTGTTTAGAAGACTGACAAGGAACGGACAGATGTCTTTTAGGGAACGAAATATACTAACAACATTAGCTAGAGAAGCTCATGCAGAGGATGAGTGCCTACTAGGATGCAGTTTGCGACATTTTCTGAAGCAGTGTCTTAAGACCCGGAAGCTGTGGGATACGTCAGGCCGAGGATTGATCAAGAAAAAAGCTATTAGGTAAATCCCTGTGAAGCGTTTGTGGGCGCTATTCCAGTTACATTAAAGAGTTTGTTGTAAGGTTTAGATAGCCAAACTTACAAGCAAAAGTTTATGTTCCTACTTTCATGTGTGTGTTTTATACGCGGAATATCTAGCTGTGACTTTTCCTACAAATGCACGTTCAACAGAATCCGGTTCCTAAACGTGCTTGTTTCTCCAACAATGGTCTGTGCGCCTTACTGCGGTGCGTTCAAACACGCGGAGCTCCTTTCATTGCACATAAAAATCGGGTCGTTTCATAATTAAAGACCTGACCTAACAAAATGGCCGACAAAGGGGAAAAGTCATACCGTAATTTACCGTAATTTATTTAATGCTATATTTGAGAGCGTGCATATACGTGCATGGTGTGGAAAATGTCTATGTGTGGCGATGACAAGTTCAGATTTAGTTTTAGATTGCACTCACGCGACGAAGTTACGTAACTTGAAAAAATTGGATGCACTACCCAATATTCGAGTGTAAAAAAGACGAATACTTTATTTCGTTCATATCTTAAGATAATGTAATTTGTTTTTTGTGTGTGTTTTTAAGGTATTTTTGACATTGTGGATCTAGGTTTAGCAGAAAAGCGTTTCCCGTTGGGTATCCACGGAAACATTTTCCAAGGATGACCTGAACGGGCGGCTCTACTCTCGTATTCACATAATAATTTACACAGCAAGTGCAATCTGTTCCTCGAACTAGATAATATACGATTTCGACTAGTATCATGATGGATCTCAAGCAGAAAAACGGGCACACTTCTGCTGGTAGGAAACGCAACTTTAGCATTGAATCTATTTTACAAGGCGATATATTAAAGCATCCATTAAAGAGTACCCCAGGAGGCAACGTATTAGATAACCTAAAGGACAGTAGGGCTGATGCTAGCTCCAGGCAAGCATGTGCAATTGTTCCTGCTGGGACTTCCAGTGAACTGCATGACGATACAGACTTAGGGTTGTTGGAGTCTTCTTCCGTAGCAGATGACTATAGAAGGCAACAACACTCTTCTTCTTCAAGCGATCACCACCCTTACGTGGCCCCAGGATTGCCGTTTGCATTGCCGCCCGTCGATAGTCAGCGCGCAGAGCATTTCGACTGGATCAATTGTACTCGATACAACCCCCCAAAAATTCATCGTAAGTACAAGCCTACATTAGACCATAAAGACCTGCCTATTTGCTGTTTTATTACTTTTTTTTCAATGCGTCTTACCGATTGACATCAAGCGAATAAATATAAGATTCAGCGTGGGTTATAGTAAAATTACCTTTATTTTTTGGGAAGAATATTTTGTGGGTATGTCATACGAACGCATTAAAAACCAATAAACGTGGACTTGAAGCTAGCGCAAGAAGAGCTTAATGAAGAGTTCCCGTTGAATCCACTACGCTTATTCTGCATTAGCAGTAAAGGGAAGAAGCAAAGAAGAAATTTTCTTTGTCATTGTACATTCCATTGATTCGATGAGATAATTTTAAATTAACTAGCGTCAATGTAACTTAAAGGCTTTACTATAATACGTGTCAGTTCAAGGCCTGGCAGTACGAGAAATTGTCATTTCAGAAATAGGTATTGGTATCTGACATGTTAGGGTGACTACCATACTAGCACTTTTCTATCGAAAAAGCTTAGCGTCTCCCCAAGATATTTATGTTATATTAGGGCGATGCAGACGTCAAATATGTATGGAAGAGCAAGCCCTACAGACATCAGTGAAAATTCTAATTGGGACATTTGTGGGCTTTGTGCATTTTCCCAGTTTGTGGTTAGGAATGAGATCCTTAAATTGACAAAGCGTCAGAAGTACAAACACTAAAACTAGTTATTAAGCGGGTAACTTTAAAGCTTCTTGTTGCAACTTGGGCTCGGCAAACGAATGTCCCGTATTCCAATTGGGCTAATTCGTTTCTACGGATAATTGGGATCCCTCATAATACTAAGGTAACCCGATCAGTGTAACAAATATCTACCTCTATTATAGGCAAATATTAGCTTTTGAAACAATTGAGTTTTTGACTTAATTTTGAAGATTACTCCACACTTTTTCCACAGTTACAATCAAGCTGTGATACTAATACCGCCCGTTTAGTTTCTATTTAAGGTGTTAGTTATTGACGAAAATATGGAGGTGGGAAAAGAAACCCATAAGGATTTCTGTTCTAGAATGAAGCGAAATTTCCGAGTGCAGTCATGCACGATTCCTATCCGACGTCTCATGTTTAACGGAGAGCGGTATCGAGGTTATTATTAAAGGCGTATTTAATCGTTGCTAATTTTCATTAACACAACGATATTTTTCGTGCTTTACATAGACCATAACAGTGAACTTTGTGCTTTGAAGTTGAAAATAGCCTGTCTTTTCCTTTTAATATGCGTCGCCATTTGTAGCATGTATCATTCACTATTGCCCCTAGGAACGACCCCTCCTTTAAAAGCTAAGTTACTCAGCTATCGATTCAAATATCACAACGTAGTATTTAATACATTATTATTATATATCTTATAGTCTTAAACTATTTCCAGCCTTTAAATAAGGTACTATCGTTAATGTTTTGTTATCGACCGTAAGCATAAAGGAAATCTTAAAGCAATAAACAATGAATTACTTGAATTTTGGGAGGGGACATTGATGATGGAACAAGAACAGTTGCTCTGTTCCTTAAATTGTCGATCAATGGCTTTTAAGAAGTGACCAGTTTCCAATTGCCTTACGACCGAGCAATCGGTAGGTCATGCGTGTATCTTCTAACTAGACAAACGCAGCCAATAAGATCCTGTTGGTAGCGTGAACGAGATGATTATTCTGCTCAAATTCTATTATAGGAAATTCATCATTACAATACGTTCATAACTTACTCATATTTGATCTGTTTCACTTGCCATTATTAAATAACGCAACTTCTTTTTTTTAGTTAATGCATTATTTATATGAAATATGATTGACCCGCGTATAGAAGACGCGTTCTGGCGTATTGCGAATATCGCGAGAACAGTAGCAATAAGTTCGAGATAACGGCCATGTATTGGCTTTTTGCAAGATAAGGGCCAACGATCCTGATCCTGTACGACTGTTGCCGTCTTAGTAAATCGGTCGTTTTCATCAGCCAATATCTTTTTGAAATTATAATGACGGTTATATCAGAGGCCGGATAACGGAGAGATTGACTCGAGGCTGTTGATTCAAACTAAACAGCTCAAGGTGAGCTGATCCAGACTGCCGTTAGTGATATACCTGTCAGTTGCCAGCCACTAGACGACACCGCTCTCACGGGATCTGTCAAAATTAATCAAAATTGTCTCCGATCCATCTAAGACGAAGACATCCATCTGCAAGCATTACACAGAAATCTTCGGCAACCGTATGACGAAATAGAACGAAGACTAGAGCGACGCGACGACACGCTTTAGCTTAGCCTCCTTTGACCTGCGAGCATCGGGTCGACACAGCCGCCAACGACCGTTGCCCGTTATCTAGTTAAGTGAGACGTGAAGGAACAAAGTAGTCCTACTGTTAAAAAGAAAAGGACTTTTTTTCACTCTGATCATAAGCATCTCATTCCCATATAACAAAGACGAAACCGGAGCAGCTTGGAACAATGAAAGGACAGATTTACGGGAGTGTCGTTACGGTACCCGTTGTGAGAAGTCATATATCTGTTTCAGAAATGGTTGTGGGTTAGACGCGGCTGATGTCTAGACTATTCGTTCGGGCCGCATTTTGCAATCGATACGACAGGTAAGTTATACAAATAGGCATAATTCTTGAGCTTTTTAGGTTTAAAAGGAAAATAGCCACAAAGCAGACCTTATATTATAGGCGATTTATCAACAACGAGCCTTGGAAATTGCACTATTAGCGAGCTACCAAAGAAGCGCAAATATCTATCCCGGTCGCCTCGGATCCCGTTCAACTCGGCGCAGCTGTCAGTCCTTGAAGAACAATTTCGACAGGCGCCATATTTAAGCGGTGCTGAGGTTCAGCGGCTAGCCAATGAACTCGACATGAGTGATGTTAGGGTGAGTAAGAATGTTGATTATTTGAGCTCTTTGCAATGTGACAGAGGAAAAGTTATAACTGGAACAATTTTCTAAAAATCAACCAGCTATATATCTATACGCATGAGAAAATGATGAATAAAGCACCGAATTAAATCGATATTTCAATATATACCCTCCTACCAACATTGTACTCACTATGGAACTATTACATAATTGAACGGAAAGAACATTATTAGTATTTTAGTCCGAAGATTAAGAACATCCCGTATTGATGACAACAGCCGAAAACATTGGAATAATCTCTATTCATGGTAATAAAGCCGAATGTGTCTAACTTTATTACCGTTGACGCGTGAAAACTGATTTCACTATGTTTCTCTATTTAAGTAGTCAATGGATTTCCCCATGTTAGAGCAAAGAATCATATGGCTGTGATGGCGCCCTATCAACCCAGTACGAACACCATTGGGGGCGTGAACGCATTATTAAGACGTACGCATACACTGAGTTGTGACATACGTATTTAATATAACAAGTTCTTTCCAAAAAAAATGGGAGCGTGCAATTTTTCTGCTTCGTAACAACGCTTAGACGAGATAAACTATAACAAACACATGACACACATGCACATAAATTTCGTGTTTGCCTAGATGAGCCTGAAACAGCCCTCGTGAGATGATGTGCGCACATAATGGAACTTAATTTTCGTTGGTTTTTATCTGACCTGAAAATTGGTACTTGTTAATTTGTGACATTGCAAGAAAGTTCGTGGTATAGTTTGGAGGTTGTAACGTGACTGATAGTAATAATCGCCTTAAGTGAAAATGCTTTTCAACTATTAAGATACCAGTTCCTAAAAACGTACAGCGTACGGCATTTTTCGTAGACATCAATAGGATCTCCTTAGATCTCAGCTTAGATGTCTACCCAGCACATAAAAAACCCTTATTTCAGGATAGACCATCCAAATATATGAAGAGATTTTACTTTTGAGACTGCTGGCCGCCATTTTGTTTTTACGACCAGTCTCAGGTAACGATGATTTACTGATCAAATAGATAGAAAACTATCGATACGACAACTGTTTATTTCCATTACAGTCAGCGCACATCAATTGATCACACCTCTACTAATTCATATTACCCGTAGTCAGCGAATCGAGCTGTATTTATGTCGAGGGCATAATTAGTCGTTCGTCGATACGACCTAATTGTGCCCTCTGGTACTCTCCCACTAACGGCTAGACAACAAGTGGCATTTCTAAGGGCTTTGTTTACGCAGACCGCCAGATAGCCTAAAATCACATGACCGAACGTATATACATTTTTTCTTTTTCATGCAAAAAGCGGTAATGGGACACACTTTTTACCGGACAAAAGTCGTGATGATGTGACAATGATGGTCGAATATCTTTTTAGCGATACAAGAATGTCAGCAACACCGGGGACAAGTCCAAATGCTGGTTCACTCATTGGACTCTTCGGCCTTGAGCATTTACGGCGTCATCATTCGCTGTTCGATCCGAACTGCTGTCTACGGCTAAGTGCTTCTTCTTCTTCAACGGCAGGAATCGGATGATAAAAATTAATTAGCGTGTAACATATTTGACTAAGGCGGCCAAATAGCACGCCAGCCAGCAAAGCAGACGACGCTCAAGAGCGGACAACAGTAAGCGACTGGAGACGAGATGTCGGTAGCCACGCTGTTTATAGTGATATCGAGATATGGCGAGCGTCAGGCTAACGCGGTTACAGTGACGACAGACACAGAAACCGCTGCCACTGCCGCTGTCTCCGGCCGCACCGGTTGAGGCACGTCCGATGACAGCTGGTTGAGAAGAGACGTGACAAACTCACTGATGACGAAAAGCCTTCAACGTTCGACACACTAACCAACAAAACCTACGGAGCAAGTCGACCTGAAGCAGCAGTCTGGAGCAGATAGAAGAAAATCTCATTTTCACAAAGAATCGAACCGATGCAGGTAAGGTAGGGTAGGCTCGGTGACAGGACATCGACATATATGTGGTCGAATTCTGGACATTTGAAAAATAGCAGTACGGCAAATGACGGAAAAAGAGGAAACGGGCCAACGAGTAAGCGATTTCGGTGCTCAATACCGGCAGCCAATAAACAAGACGGAGTTTGTAAAGGGGAGTCAAAGGCGAGCGCTGACGTGAGAAAACCAGCGAACTACGGGCCATATGAACTCATTCACCATAAACGATGGCCAGCAGCTTCTGAAATGGGCAAAAAATCTGACCAGATTGCTGAAAAAGGATTACTTTAATTCATCGAGATACTTTTATCGAGAGATTATATTATTTTAACATACGAAACGCATTTTACACAACGTACGTTCTTTTAGATAGTCACTGTCAATGATGCAACACTTGGCAGTGCTTACTGTCTCTTACAAATCTCAGATAGTTAGTATAATTGGCTTGTCTAAAAAGTTCTTCGTTGGGAACGCAATCTGCGAAGCATATATTCAAGAGCCTGATAGTGTAGGGGTCATCTCAACAAAAAAAAATCTGTAAACAATCATATTTTACTTTAGATCAAAAACAACCATCAACATTTGACGTTCAATTTGCTTATATTGTTAGACAGTTTTCTGTACTTGCATTTTTCATAGCGACTCGGGGAAGGTATTCTACTTGAACTCAATGTTAGCTTCTATCAGAGCTATGCCTTATCTAGGCCACCGACAACACAGTTTGCTTTTTTACGTGATGGCGGGTAACTTTTATTACGATGTGCCCGTTCGAGCACATGTCTGATTGCATGCGCTTCTTATAGATCAGATCAGGTTATCTCTTAGCGCTCACTACGTTAGATGCAACAGGATGATCCACCTCAGATGCCGCTGCGCCCTATTTTATGGGAGCATTGAGCCAGAAACGAGGGTTTTTTTCTCATTCGCATGTCTCGAGTTGCATCTCTATGCCGCTCCCCTTCAGGAATATTTCTTTCTCTCTGGTGATTATCCATATACAACTACTATAGGCTATTGTAGGCTCAAGCCGAAGCCTCAAGTATGACGACCGCCTGACAGGATCAGCGTCCTACTGGTAATCGTCCACCAGAAGTGACTCTTTACCTCGAACAAATCACTGTTGTGCCCTCGCCCGTGTGGTCTTTGTGTACGCATTGAATCGGTTGATACTATGTGGCACCAACCGCCGGCGTTTGAAATCACAAAATTACACGTTTCGATTAAATGGCTTAGCTGGTCTCATGATTAGGCTAGCAGTTCATTGTCTGAGCACGCTTATAGCTCAATAGCATAACATCATGTACTTCTCCCATACCGGTTCGCTTATCAATGCTATTCAGCTAAACGCATCTGCTGCCTGTCACCGAATCAAGCCTTCGGGGTGGATTGACTTTAGTAAGTACAAAATGCCTAGTATACCTATCCAGCATAATGGTAGCAGCTCTGGTTTCACATTGAAAAAGGGAAGACTCGGTTCATCAGCGTGTCTCTTCTTCCTTGCGTTATCGACTTCGACTCCGGTAGCGTTCAATTATAACTATCTCTTTTACCAGGGGCACGCTTGCCTGTGCTTCATCGTTCGTCAACGAGTGCGGGATAAAGACTAGCAGCCGCCGAACACGCTCAGCCTTCTCGTCTCGAGCGACTATTGTAAAGAAGGCGGTGAAAGCAGGAAGTGTGTTGAGATGAGCACAAGGGTGTGCAGTCTCCGATCGAGCGAATACCCTGCGCCACGGCTGTCTTGCTTTCAGTCAATTAATTGAATCCAACAAGTTGCCGATACGCCACTGCAATACTACAGAAAAAGCCATTCTCTCTATTCGATTGAGGAAGAAGAGGCAACAAGCGGTTCTAGGCATGAAAAACCATTGACTCGCTGTTTGTACTGGTAGACCAAGAGAAAGGCGAACAGAGATTCACCAGCCGATACGAAAAGCACGCACCCCGCTCTCCTTTCCGCCACTAGCAATGGATGCTCTGTCGGGATGCACTAATTGATGCGTGCATTGGCTTTGCACACATGGTGGAAGTATGCGCCGGCCATGGAGCGGGCTAATCATTCTTTGTGTGTCTAGTAATTGTTACTGATGTTGACCGTTTCGACAGCGAGTGATGTACCTGAAGTAGGCCTGCATACAGGATAATCGAAAGCCAGCAGATTGTTGGAGAAAAGTCTACTTGGCCTATCGTAGCCTTCTCCTATACTTGTCGGGTTGAATGCTCGGAATAAGGTCGCTCTCGTCTTACGAGAAGGAGAGGGGTCGGGGGGGGGGGGGGGTAAGTGCCAAATCAGACGTGAGTCTGAATAGGCCGAAGAAAGGGATGATACGGACGGATGAACATTGAGATGGGAACTTCATCGTCTCAATCAACTTATCGACTTAAGAACACGGATTCGGTAGTGTCGAATGATCGAACATAAGCAGACATCCTCATCGTCAGACGGAATAAACCGTGCGCAACACACCGGCAAGTCCCAAAGCGCAAAAGTAATACACTACAGGGTATTGTACAGAAGGCCAAAGCGATAAAAAGCTTCTATCAGCGTTAACTTGCCAAATTGCTAATGTTAGCCGTAATAAAAAAGCTCATTCGGAATCATCGTGACGGTTGACTGCGTCTGTGTCAGGCGCTGACCAGTGATTTTAGAATTTGTGCGTGATCGGGTACGGAGTAGCGATATCAACTATTGCTACGGCCACTATCAAGTCTCAATAGAGCACCATGCAATACATAGAAGAATACGTTTTGAATTATGATTAGGATAATGAGCAGCATGTGGTCGCAACTGTGATAATTTCGCTTTTCGAACAGTATATACTTGCTGGACGACCCACAGTTAGCTGATCTCACTTCCACACGCACTAAGATCATATATTGATAGAGATTATGAAACCGTTAACGCATTACGTCGTAAATCAAATTCTTACTTTCATATTTGTCGAGACAAACAGAGTATAGCACTGCGTTTCATCGCTATTCCATTCAAACCACTATTTTGATTTTACTTTTTTCGCTGTCACTGACGATGATGACGGCGGCGGCGGCGGCGGCAGAAACCTGTTTCGTCTGTTCGGCCATTTTGCGACCCCGTTCTTGAATCATCAACGGGCCACAATTTTTTATCATCATCACCCATACGTCGTTTTGTATATACGCCATTTATACGTTTATATCAAATATATATCAAGTCTAACAACGGCTCATCTATCTCAACATGTGGCTATGAAACGAGATAACCGTAACACTAATTTAACAAAACATGTAGCCATGAAATAGAAGTTGGATATACCTAGCGTTTCCAGAGATTTTTGTCGACAGAAAGACGAACTTTTGGGCTTATTGGCGTGCACGGTTGGGACATCTTACAAGCAATTTTGTGGTTACCTGGTGTTGTTGGTGATATTTTCTCATGATGAATCGTGAAAGTGGTATGGCGTCCGACTTTTAGCGGGGTTGTTTCGATGTCGTTAGCAATATATTGTCAGCGGATGTCAACAGCTACTCAGAGGTAGTTCGTGCAATTTCTTTCGGGAACGCTAGTCGTTAATATTCGAAGGATTTGAAAGCCACCTTTGGAATGAGGTTATTTATAGATGTGATGAATGATTAATAAAAAAGAATGACTGTTTTGTTTAAAAGCATTTTCACTGTACACGGGAAAGGTGATTGAACTATCAGCCACCTGTTACACCCTATAGTCATTTTGGGAATCAACACTATATATATGCATGTTTTTCTCTTTCCTTTCTGTCAAAATGACACGGTTCAAACACAAATTTGTGCATTGTTTCATACGTAAGCTAATTAAGACTGGACTTCGCAGCTTTAATCATACGATTCGAGTGATTCGTATGATCTCTCCAATATGTGAAGCAGCCCCAACCACAATTAATTATCATAAATTGATTCTCAACACCTATTCAAATGAAGCCATCATTTGTTGCTTGCCCAGTTGTACATGTGCATCAAACATACGTTTTTACTTGTTGTGAACATATTTTGCTTTTCGACATATATTTATGTATTTACTGTATCAGCAGCTTGCTGTATAACGACGCGGGGTTCTGCTCTGAAGAGTCGATAATAGGACTACTTCTGCCTTTTCAAAACCAGCGCTTCTCCGCATTTTGAACCCTGGTGAACCCTGAGGAAGAAATTGGTCCGGTTATCGGCTTTTTTCTGAAGTTGTTGATTGTCCCAGTGGTTCACCTTGCAATTTCGCCAACTACCTGCCTCTTTTACTTTATATCTTTCCACCTCTTCTCCTACGTATACAGCAGCGCCAGCTAGCAGCGCCAGCGGTCAAAAATAAATTCATATTTTGTCGAGGGTTGGGGGGATCTTATCTGTTCGACAATTGACATCATGCGGCGGCGGCGGCGCAAGGAACTGCCAGTGGCATGCGTACGCCGTCTGCTAGACAAATTCTACGCTACTCTTGCATCGTCACATAGACGGCTACTTGCAGCCATCATCAACACCGTACCTATCACTATCAGTATCGATGAAGTATTTCGAAATTTATATTTTTCCGCCACAGCGTCCTCCGTCTATCCGCAATGTGACATCTATATACGTATGCGTGTATGCATACACACACACACACACACTCACACACACGCTTGACGTGATTATTTATTTGTATCTGAATTTACGAAGGGCGCCAAATTAATGCCGTCGCAGAATGAAAAATGTGGGTTAAGAGATAAGCCGTTAAAGCAGATCGACGCAGCAGCAGATAATAAATAGGATTATATACACAATAATAATACGTTTAGCCAGTCGACGTTTAACAATGGTGACTGGGATTCATTATAATTTGATTCTCTAGCCCAGGATTGAATACAATAGATGAAAGGATTATATGTAGGAGATTCATTGGCGCTGAGTAGGCTTCACGTCAGCTTGCAGCGGCTGAAGCTTTGCCATATCGTGGTGTCGCACTACCGAGTTTAGGGGCTGTATGTACTTAAATGTTCAAAATTCTTTTTCCGGTTAGCAGATTACCAAACAACATATGGGTTATATTTCGCCTGCTACTTTTTAATGTGACGGAGTATTATTTATCGAGTACATATTCGTGACGTGGACTTATCAGTTAAAATACTTTGTATATAAACTTCGGGTTTGCTGGACATGAAGAACGAGTTGCTTATGCATGCTATTTCTGATGATCTGTTAGTGTTGGAAGACTTTTGAAAACATCAATACCTGAAGTACGTTTCTAAAACCCAATGTTTACGTTACAAGTCGACCAAAACCTGCATAGGTAGTGCGCCATCGTCGAAGTTAACAACAGAAAATATTATTTGCAAATCCCATACGATCGCTTTGTTTAACGGTTTGATCATTGGATATCACGCCATTATTTATAGAGCTAATTTTTCTAATGCTTCATGTTCAGACTAATGAACGTCCTATCACCTAAACCGAGCGGACGAGTTCCTGGCTCAAAGGATGAACAATGCTATTATAGCACTGCTATGACACTTGAAAAGTGTCATACATCCATTATAACAATATGAGGATATCCTGCGCTTACATTAGCCACATTTTGCTTTTCTCGATGCCTAATTCTATCGTGCACGTGTTTCTATTTTTTTCTGAAGGTGAAAATATGGTTTCAAAATCGACGAGCACGCGAGAAGCGGGAACGTCTTGCGAAAACGACGACAGGCCAGCATCAGATAGCAGACGCCGCCACATTACCTACTCAAGCGAGGTCGGCTATGGAGCTCAACTCTGACAAACGGGGTCCTTCAGATTCACTAGGGACATCGGCCGAACATTTGCAAAGTGTCGAATTGGCATTGCTTCCGCAAAGCAACCGCAAATGCCACTCTTAGCTGGCTATTATGGCAACCTGTTAGTACTTAGTATATCAGCATCCAGCAGGGTATTTCTTTCATAACTTACGTATGATAAGCACAATGATAGCTAAAATCTAAATACAAGCTTTAAGAATGCTACGACATATTTAAAAATCAAATTTTGAGCTCGTAATTTATATTTAGAGCAAGGTACAATCGTTCATAATAGTAAAAGACGTACGATAAACTGCTAGCAAATCAATGAATACTCCATTTTCGAGCCACTGGAACTCCTAATAGTAATAATAAGGCCATTCTTATTTTACTTATAAAACTCACCCTAGCGTGTCTAGCGAAACATGGTCAAAGTGTACCCGCTTCATTAGACAAAAACGATGTGAATACACATGACTCTATATGGAAATATATCATGTCTTTGATATCGTACGATTGCGCATCATAATGATCTCAGGATTTTATGTCTCATAGATCTTTCGCTTTTCTCGAATCTTGAAATTTTTGTATGGATCCGAATTTCTTGAATTATTCAATCTTGGGCGGTTTTTGTTTAGCCGGATGTGATCAATATAATCGTATCCAAGGCGTTTATTTTAAGTGTCTTTATTTTTAGGCTTTTATAATATATGAAAAGTTTGGGGCCTCAAACTCTGTTTTACATTATTCGTAGTTGTTTTCACGTGCCTTCGGTCCCATTTGGTTTTGTATTGAATATCTCCTTCAGATGTATCAATATATAGGACTGAATAGACGTAACACCTGTAAATGCTACATAGCGCTCATAGCCTATGGTAAAGGGTTGTACAACAGGGTTTTTTAAAAACTTTACTAAATAAATAATACGCAAAGATAATTTATTAACGCTAGCTGCCGTATCTTATTACATACATCAGTTTTTAGTAGTTTATTAGATGTCTAATTTGAATAGTAATAGTAAACATAAAAAAATGAAAGAAAAGCAAATAAATGAGAAAATACACTTTGAAAAGCGAAAATACTAACGTGCTATATTTTATATATAGCATGAGCTGTGGGCATAAAATATTTAGGCGGCGAGTGTTCAGTACCCAAAAAATAGCTGTATAGTTGATTTCAATTACTGAATGTCAGTAAGTTCCGGAACTTCGCTTGCATATCTACTTAATTTTTTCGACCTCACTAGCGCTCTGGATAGATTATTGATAATAATAATAATAGTTGTTTGTAACCGCTATGTCGTATACAATTAGCTTAAAACAAATTCCCATATTCATTTATATGGTGAATGTAAATTAGTATGATGAATTATGTATGTATGATTGATCGTGTTACTTCTTTTAGGTCTACGTAAATAACTAGAATCACTTGATTTTTGTCAGTTTGTAACAACTACGCGGCGAAGGTAAGAGGATAAAAAGAAGGTCAGAAGAGGATAAGTGAGAGATGCTTCAGTATATGTGAGTCTGTGCTTTGTTAGCTCATTCCGCTTGTGACATCATCGAACCGAGAAAGCCGAATAATTTAAATAATAACGATGAAATGCCGATATGATGCCGCAGGAAAAGATTTTCGGATTGTCCGAAGATCAATGGCCTATTAGTCATGGCGTTGTCAGCACCGTCATATCATCGAGCATCTGGTAGACAAAGAAGAACTGCTCGTTCAAGCTGCGTTTGGCATACTCGGGGCCGTCAAGTATTTACGAAAACTTCGAGTGCTAGTGCCTTGTAACCTATAAAATCTTAGATTATTGAAAATGCGTAAATACATTTCGAGAAGTCTCTATTCCGCCTAATTGCGGTAATCGACAATCTAACATGTAGACGCTAATCTTAACCACGGCCCTTCAGCCGGGGTTTAGCATCGCGTAGGTGAAGACGTACTTGACCCTCCTTGAGTCTTGGCCTCAGCATGGGCTACTCGTTGGTTTTGTAAAATTTCTGCAACGTCAATGGCTTTAAAACTAAAGGGTGCTTTCTGCAATGCTTCTAACTAGCGCTATCCTAAGTATTGGGCTCCCAAAGCAAATAAATTTTCTAGGTCGGAACAAGACCATCAGTGCTACAGCGGTCAGTGCTGTTGCCTCGTCAGTTACTCTATGTCAGACTTTGTTTACGGTAATCGGTTATCGTTGGTGGGCATACTGCTGGTAGTAGTAGCTGGTAGCGTAATTATTCACATAGAGGTTAGCTATCTTTATCATGAACGCCGTTGCAGCCTGAAAGCCGGACACTTTGCAGCAATCGACGTGGGTAAATCGATCAGTATCTACATGAGCCTGTATGCCACGTTGAGCGTCTTCTAAGCAGCAGGCCGTCTATCTCCGTACGTGGCCGGCTTGGTAATCGTGGCAGTATCCTGTGTGTGAATTTGCTAGTCTGTATGGAGAAAAAAAACAAGCATCAGTTTCAGTTGTTGCGCGGCTAAAGCGTACAGTCCCAGTAGCAACTGCCTTATCTAAAACACAAGACAATAAAATGCAATTTTTCTATACTATCGTTAAAACTGTCATCATTTTCTTCTGTCTGCAAACCACTCGAAGCTACCATAACGTTCATGTTTATGCAACCGGCTACACCAACAAGCTTCAGTTTGTCATATATTTTAAGATGGCTTTCCAGAGGTGAGAAGATAACGAATCAGCAATAGCACTGAAAAATTGGCATTGAAAAAACGTTTAACTCATACGATTGTGTAATTCCACAAAACTTAGTCATCATCATTTATTGTTTGATAGCGCGTTGTAAAGAACAGTGTTTGTGTTTATTGTCCGGATCAATAATTAAGCTGTTAGTACTTTACCACACGAATATTCAATATTGTAATGGGCTTATATTACTTTTTAAGGACCATCTTACCAAAAAATTTGGATTTCTTTGCATAATTGGGGGATCTGGTGACGAGAAGGAAAGGTAACTCAGGATTTTACCGCATCGCTAAGGTCGTGCTGTTATTAGCATTCATGGCATTCGCAATTTATTAATAAATAATCGGTCATGATGTCAGCGAGGCGATACCTTCCTTAGAGCCTATGTTGCACAATCTCATTTTCATATAGTATATACGCCAATACATACTCAATATGAATCTATCCCGTTTATAGCAGTTAATACTCTAGAGACTCACCTGATCATTAATTGTTTTGTTTTTAGACATTCTGGGCAGTTTATTCTATGATACCATAGCTTCTCTTTTGGCGACCCAAGTTTAATTTAGGACAACTGGAGCCCATAAACGTCAATGGGCATTATCTGACAGTCATCTATCGCCAAGAGTGTTCGTTATCGATCGCAAAGGACCAATCTGGTAATTAAACCAGTTGAATTTTACTCCGGCCTTATTCAGGCTATGTACACAAGGTATATGACGACTATTACTGTCAATTTAGTCCAAGGAAATAACTTGAGGGAACATGTGTAGTTCACGTTCCCTTCGTGGCCTGGCCTGCTAGGACAGCTTTGCTCTTCTATCGTGCGCCCAGCGCTAATGTTGATGGCACTCCAAGCGCACTATAAGTATACGGCTTGTGACCTGACCATCTCTCATTAAAGAAACTTCTTTCGAACATAAAACCTCTTGAAGATGACGATAATGCTAGTAGCCGACACATCATATTGATGCTTTTTGCTGCCAAGTTTGATATTAAGTGTGTGCAACCCATTTCGTACATTATGGCGGATGGTGCTGTATCGTATTTTAAATGCAGAATTTACAACAGATAATGTTATTATAGCAACTTACAGCCAAGGAGATAATATTGCTAGTTAGCGTCTTTATCCCATTCTTTTTTAGACAACAGTACTAAGCCATAGAATATACACTGAGGTCCTTAAAACTAACTTGAAGAATTGTCGCAATTGCCGAGTCGTTACGTACTTTACGGGCAGTTGCAAGTGCTGGTTTTGCTTTATTTTAGATCAACCACCGCTATCATGACTATGGATCTAATTTAGAACAGATAATAGTTTTCGACCTTTGCAAAGTAGATACGAAGACTCTATGATGTCTCTTCCTGCTTAAGATAGAAAATCAGTTTACGCTGTACCATAGGCAATATAGCATATTGCAGTAATGTTAAGCGGTTGCGGTTAAAAGATGTGTTCTCGAAAAAAAAATTCATGAAATTTTCTGTTTTTAAAAACTGTTTTATAATCATTTATTGGGTATTGAATGGCTAAAACAAATGTCGCAGTCGGTTAGACAGGTTTAAGGGTCTAAATAAGCAAAACGGCTCGTTGCAATGAAATATTTTTTTCAGACGAATACACCAGCGCATTTATCAAAACAAATTCATGCGACTGTTCTTCTTTGTCCTTTGTTGGCCTTATCTGTCAGATATGTAAGCAACAGCTCCGAAGGAACCGAACTGTTAGTCGGGGTTAATTGTAACGTTAGCATCCTCAGTAACAAATACCATAACCGAAAGCAGAGCATTGATGGCAAGTATTGCATTTGTTATCTTTGGCTCAGGGAACAAAGTGTGAGCGCACTGGCGATTCTATGCCAGCGTACTGCTATTGGGAACGGCTTGCAGAGTGATCAGCCGCCAGGCTCCCAGTTATCTGCGCGAAGTTAGCCATTGCGAGAAATGGCAGGTCCGTATCTAGTCAGCATATCGCGGTGGCTATAGATATCTCGACCATACTGATAGGGTTATATAGCATATTTAGCACTTTTTGGGGTAAACATTCATCTATTTTTTTCGTTATAGGTGTAACACACCTTCCGGTAAGTTCATTTGGGGACTCCGACGATAACGCATCAAAAATAACCATCAGTTCCCCGGGGGCTTCCCAGCGAACTTTGCCGTAGTTAATGACAAGGCCAAGGCACGGCAGTTGCGCTTACATTTGTTGGCTTCCATGTCATTACTTCCTTTACGGTTCCAACGTTCATTGAGCGTTCCAAACGTTCTAAAATGCTTAAAACATCCGGATCAATCCAGACTCTTGCACTCGCGACTCTCGAGTCGATGATGACTGGACCAAATCAGGCAATAAACAATGAATGTCAGCAAAATTTGTTAATTATTGTTGCCTTCGTCTTGTTTGTTGCCGTTTACTTACACGGCAACGGGCTTATACCATGAGTGATACTCGACGAGCTGCTACTAGGAACTCCGAGGTGCTGAAGACGGCTGCGTCAAGGAGAAGCAATTGGGCTTTGGACCGCATTGTGGCACCAACCTTTTCTGCACAGTTCGCAAATTTGGGCTTAAAGGCAACATCCTATTTGTCTGCTGCAACCATTTCTCGATTGTATGTTGTTCATCGGTCATTTCATTACCATAACAGCCAACTAATTTTTTCAAAACCTCGAAAAACTTAAGGCTAAATTCTACACGCACATGTTTAATGCAGCGAATAAAGCATAGATAAAGAGCGCGCAATACAACTGACTTTAAGGGCAAGAAGTTGTTAGGCAAACAAGATACATCCAGCCAGAATAAAACCGAATCCCAATTTGCATTTTTGTACAGCCTTTATTGGATTCGTCTGTGTGAAAAAACAACTACATCTAAAAATATTCAGTAACCATAGTATGCCGGTGAATTATTTACTAGAACGAAGAATTTTCGGAATCGATGTTTATACAGCATCGTGACGTAACCAAATTATTTTGTAGAGCGTCTATTCTTACTTGTTCTCTTCGGTGTTGCATCTCTATTACTTCACCTTTATAATCAGCTGGTTTATTTTCCATTTTTATTCAATAGTGAGTCTCGCGGCTACGTACTGTACGATTCCAGGAGTATGTGCTAACTTATCATTCCTGTATGTACATATGTAGCAAACGTGCATACTTAAAAGGTAACACCACAACAAAGTTAATTTACAAAAAAAGATAAACACGTTAATTAAAGATTAATATTTTCGTATTATACTATCTGTTTCTAGATCATCAGAAAACCCTCATTACTGTTATCCAATCTGAATTTATTGTTTGACTTAAGCTAACGAGCCCTAGCAGTTCAAGTATGTATCCGAAGATATTTTGCACCACGGTTAAATGTCTTAAAGACCCCCTGGTGAGTGGCAAATGCAGTTTAATGTTTTCCTGTACACTCCCTCTGTTACCGTCCTTCTCGTACTCTATTGCGGCCAATGTCCTTCTATGAGCATACAAAGTGGCCTTGTCGGTGATCGTGTGGCATCAAACGGATAGTTTTAAGATTTTATAAGCCTTGTAGACTTTTGCCTATTCGTCTTTGAGATAATTATTATAAATGTAACGGTATGAAATGGGCATATGGATAAATCTGCAAATCCAGACCCACACTCATTAACAAGTATTCTATAGGATTCGAGCCAAAGGCTTGGCAGATTCAAGTGTAGCGACAGGTGGAACTCTTCCTAATTCAAATAAAGAAAATTCTTAATACGGCAATCCACTTGAAGTGTGTCCAGACTATCACCAATGCTAAATAAGTATCATACGTTTTGCAAATCAACTTTGTAATTCTTTATAAATAATTTACTGTGATCTTGCAAAGCTGCCAGCTATGAGAATATGACAGCTCCTTGTGCTCGAAAACAATAATTTCGATTGGTAATGTTAAAACAGTAAGGAATAAAGCTAATGCCGGTGTTGAGATTTGGGGAATCCCGCTTAGTGGGAGATTGCCAGCCGGTCTTAGTCATCGCAGAGATCGGCCAGAATCACCAAGGTTTGTTTTCAGAAATGATGATAGTCCAATAATTCTGAAAATTTTCTTAATTTACTTCGAGTCGTAGAATAAAATGAATCTGATTATATCTGAGGAAATATCAGTCACAGACATCGGCAGCGTTCGTCTGTAGTTAGAATTGTACCCACACAGAGTTATGATTCTGTCTATAGCTAGATAAATACAAATATCGACCGCTTATCCCAATTCTAAATCGGGGACGTTCCCGAAATGATTAGAAGGAAAAGGCTTCCTTCAGTGTTTAGACTGTAAAATGACGTAGTTAAGTATCCTCAGTGGAGGCAGCAAAGATATCAGTAATAGAACTTTTTCGGGGCTTTCGGTACAGGTGATGTCGAAATTGCTCTACGTATGATTGAAGAAGCTGCCCAAGCTGGTGTCGACTGCGTCAAATTTCAGAAGAGTTCTCTACAACACAAATATGCAGCCAGTGTTCTTTCTAGGAGGTAATACCACTATAGCAAACTGATCGACTTGCGAGAGGCATCTTTTATATTTCTTAAACTTGACCAGTAATGGAAAGATCTCTTTTTAGCAAACTGGTCACTTGCTCAGAAGTTCGCGTTGGTTTTCTTTATTAAATTAAAGTAGACACATCTGTACTGTATAAGCTGGGGATATCAAAATTGCAACAACAGTAATATTTCTACATAACATTATATAATTTCACCGAGATGGAATAATCCTTTACAAGTTAACAACAAATAATAACAATAAACCATTTATAGCGATAGTGAGTGCCGGGAAATGAATGTCTATCTGCTTTGTAGCTAAGGAGAAACTTAATTATTCCGCACCAATCGCAGTTTTGTCTACGTTGCAATAAATCTAGCGATTTCTATATCAGCTTTTCCTGCCGTCTTCAAAAAGTCTAACAAATTTGAAACCTATCAATTGTTCAAAGACCATTGTTATTTCCGAGAAAGATGTGATTTTTTTAGGGAAAATATCATCGTGTGATTTTATTAACAGTTAGTCTAATCATCTAGCAAATAGTCGAATACATGATCAGACTAAAGCATCTTGTTCGACAGGGGACGGCAAGTTACCGACTGGCAAGTTATATGCGTGGATAATAGTATTGTGTTTTCAAGCACTGTTTTCATTGAATAATACCAGTAATGTACATGTCTATTTGAGATTTAAATACAGGTCCTTAATTCTGTGTTTCTAACTTACTATAAAATTGTATTAGGTATGATTCACCTAACTCGTTTGGAGATACGTACGGTGAACATAAAGCGTTCCTCGAATTGCCCAAAAATGCATTTCATCTGCTTAAAGACAAAGCCGCTAGTCATGGGCTTCTGATGTCAGCCTCAGCAATGGACGAAGTTGCACTTGATTTTCTCGTTGAATTGGGTGTTCCCTTTATTAAAATAGGCTCCGGAGACTCGAACAACCTGCGGTTAATCCACAAAGCTGCCAAAACCAATGTATGTCTACATAATTAATTACTACAATTAATTTTCATAATTATTATATTATATATACTTAGACGATAAAGTTTGCTATATGCCTACTGACTGGTTAAAACTACTCGTCATTTTTAGGAACTTTGTCTTTACATGAAGAGCAACTATATACTGAAATAATGTTTTAGAATAGCACTCATTTCGTTATTATTGCTACGTATCTAACATTGGATTTTCATAAAGTTTATTACCGAACTACTTTCTTTATAGGTGCAAATTTAAGATTGTTATTATTTCCTTAATTGTTTAGATTCCTTTGATAATATCAACCGGAATGAGCGACCTGTCTGCGGTGGAACGTCTGTACGAGGCGTCATCAAAACCTCTCGGACTCCTGCAATGCACGTCCGCTTACCCCAGCTCTCCTGCTGATGCCAACCTCCGAGTGCTGAGTACTTACGCAGAAAAATTCCAAGATGCTGTAATCGGTGAGGAACAGCTGTAGCTAAAAGTGGTAAACCTTGATATTGCTAGATTTAACAAAAATGGTTTCTAGTTGACTGCCTAAACGAACCTATTACACAAACGCAGAAAAACAAATAAGCAATAATTTATTAGAAAAAAGCTTTTAGATATTTTAGGGCCCATTTGTGAAAAGATATCGATCACACCCGCATTAATAAGTTCTTAACTAAGATAAATATATTTCCCGTTATGGTGTTCTATCAAGTAACGATCATTTGAATGTAGGATCTCATCTGGTTTCACCCATCCTTTACATATGCATTATTTAAAATGCGTTATCCAAGACGGTTCTTTAGCTAAGCGTAATGTTATGCTCATTTGAATTACTGTGGATTCACAGGCTACCGTCAGACAGTAACTGTATTAAACATCTTATCGCTTTGTTGTTATTACGTTATTTTTTTTGTATTTTAACTGACTTTGGTAAGCATCGTTAATTCTAGAGGACAACATACTATACTTTAAGGGTTCGATGTTCCAGGGTATTCCGGTCATGAAAAAGGGTTTGTTTCCACACTCGGCGCCGTCGCTAGGGAGGCAAAAATCATCGAAAGGCATTTTACGTTGGATAAACAGCTTAAAGGAAGCGATCACCAGTGCTCACTAAATCCACAGGAAATGGCCGAAATGGTCAAGCAGGTACATAGGTGTTCCTCAAATTGAGCTGAGCTCATCCAGAACTTTGAGATTTGATACGCTTTCCGAGGTTGTATACACCTTTAACTATTCAGATGGTCAGGTGGCTCAGAAGAGCTAGTGCAGATACAGTAAAAGTACTGAATAGCATACCAATAATCATCATACTGACTTGCTGATTCGCGTAACACGATTTTGTTCGTATGTGTTTCGCTTTGTGATTATAGATTCGACAACTCGAGCTCGCGTTAGGGTCGGCCCATAAAACTTTTCTGGATTGCGAACGTCCATGCTTTGCTAAGCTGGGCAAAAGTCTTGTCGCTTCAAGAGATATTTGCCAAGGGGAAGTATTCACTATAGAGCATCTCAGAGTAAAAGTCGTGGAGCCTCACGGGTGGTGCCCGCTCAAAGAGCATCAACTTTTGGGAAGAATAGCATCCAAATTTATTAGCAAGGATGGCCCCATTACTGAAGATTGTGTGCAGTAGTTTAAACATAGCATGTCTGAATATATGTTTCAGATTTTTTACTATTTAGACAACGAGATGTGTACTGAATTTTAGTAACTTCAAATGATTCTCGTATTTTTTCCCAACATCTTGTGACGTGAATGGAAGCTGCCTTAAACATAACTACTTAAAGGCTAAATGTTTTTTATAATATATACGAAAAAAGCATACACTTTTTAGAAACTGTCCAACATTGCCTTTATTTTTGTTCTCTTTTTTAAATTCAATATATGTTTATATGAATATTTAGGTGAATAAATAGACCGTACAAGTGCGCATTAAAAATACCTACGTTTTGTATTCAGTTTATCATTTACATATTTAACGTAATGTATAACAACGATATTAGAAGGGCTTAGTTATCATCCTTAATTTTTCTTTCTCGATCGTTCTCGCTTTCTTACACTCGGCGCATTGTGTAGTTATTAACTAACACTCGAATTTAATATCACTCAGCACATCATAGCTGCACCGCTGCTTAGGTGCTTCTTAAGCTCGACGGTAGCCTTCTGAGTATCTAATGAGCCCCACGCCAGGCATCGGAGGTAGAATTAAACTTGGATACCAAAATCGATAAATAAAGTACCAACACAATACGGCCAGTACTCCTCCGGCCATTTTCTGCACCATAGTATGAAAGTATAAGACGGTGCTAACTAGCATCACATCCCAAAGTACCGCTAACACAGTCAACGCGATGAATAATACACGGATATACGGAGTATACCTGAAATCACCAGAGACGATATATACCAAAATAAATGTAGACGAATAAAGCTAAAATCAAATATAATTGGTTTTACGATTAAACGGAGCTTTGGAAGAGCAAGATTGGCAACTTATAAAAATGAAAACACTTGAGTTTTAGAAACTTCGTCATATCGTTATGTAACATGTGTATATGACTCCATGCATAATATCTTATTTTAAGCCTTTAATAAAACCATCATCGATATAACGTTCACTTTTCTCGTATACTAGGGGGTCAGTCACGATTATTTTTTCAATTTATATTTTCCTTCACCTTATGAAAAATTGCACAATCAGAATCCCAATTTAATGTCAGTTTTGAATAACATAACACATGATAACTTAATCTACATTTATAGTGGCAGTATCTACATTATTAGATAGGACAATTGTATTTTGGAAACGTTTCTTCAGTGTAATCGACTGAAAAAAAATGACCAACTCACTTTGGGTAGTTTTCTCTGAGAGCCTGCTTTTGCTCCTCGGTAAGACTTTTCATAGGGCTGTCGTCGTCGAACTGTTCATTACGAATAATATCGGCAATTCGTTCCCAGTTAAACAGAGTGCGCAACTCTTCGCTGATTAAAAGGTGGCAAAAGATTAACAAAAAACAGTGTCCGGAGATGTCAAAACCAATCCATTTGTGACCTTTGTTCAAACAAGTTGTACGTGAGGTTATCTTACCACCGGAGCAGGACCCCGTCTTTGATTCCACGTATACGAAGAAATTGGTGAACAAAAACCATACAGCTGTACCGACCACCATTCGCAAAAGGTGACGCATGATTCTACGCTGATCGCCGGCACAGTATACATTCGTTGTAAAGTAAATATAGAGTGAAGTTAGGATCATCGTCCAGCCCCAAGCTAGTTTGCCGAAATAGACGTTCAGTGCATTATGCTTGTTAGAAAAATATGTTCTTGGGATAGGAAAGCCAATATCGTTGATCGTCGAACCTATAAATAAAAATCCAAGGTAGATGCCCACCTTATATTTGGCATCAATAAGCACTGCTCTGCGACATACGTGTAAAATCACCATAAGGATAGTGTTTCCGATTGTCATTGGTTCTGGGAGTGGTCTACGTCCGGTCGAAGCGACCACTGATGCCTTTCTTGTGCTATCCCATTTAAGTGAAGCAGCCTTTCTGTCTCCATTACGCGGCACTAACTTCGGAGGCATCTTACTCCAGACACACCTTAGCAATATTCCTTGATTCAAGAACTTCTCGAATTGTTTTGGAAATCTCACTTTGCTAACTACATCAGCGCCTTATTTCATTTTGAGGAAAAGCATCCAGTCTTCACTTAATCAGCTGCTCAGTTTTGATTCTGTTGTGTTCCTGTTTACATCCGTTTCCGGGAAAAAGTTCTCTATCCGAAATTGCATTCGATTCTCCCAGTCAACACAGGCATTACCAATGATTTCTAATGAAACCATGAAATTGTTAATGGTACACAGGTTCTAGAAATGAACCCAGGTATATAACCTTAAGCAGAACCTGTAACAAAGTCGGCTAAGGAAAGTAACAATCTATTTATTGCACTACCTAGTTTTGGAAAATAAAGGCGAAACGGATGTAGGATATTTTGCGACCCATGGGAAGCGCCATGTTTATTTTGGTGAGTTGAAGGGAGAGGAGGCCAGCGCTACGAATATCGTACCACATCATATTTGCGTGAGTTTTCTTCGGTTTTAATATCGTTCAATTATCACTAGGGGCTGGCCACAAATTGCGATAGTACTAGCAGCAACAATAACCCAGGTAAGTAAGAAAATATGTCCCTATTTCAAGGGTCTCGCAATGCAAAATGTCCCGGCTTATGTGGAATATGGCACCTTTTTTAGCGTACCACATGGAGTCGCTTTTTTGTTTATTCTATTCGAACACGTGTGACACTGCAGGACCGGCGAAATACTTTATGAACTCCGTTCACATATGTGCGAACCGCTGTTGCGAGCTGTGAGGGCGATCAGATCTGGTTTTGTTGTTGGCGGTCGGCCTAATGCACTCGGCTATTGATTGAATTACCAATTGTTAATTGGCCACGTATGCAAATAGCAGTTAATTGTCGGTGACATCGTAGAAGCAGCTTAAAGAAAAAAATGTAGGTTGTCACAAAGTGCCTTTTGCGGATAATAGTAATAACAATTGTCATAGACATAATACACATATACAGAATGTTTCTCGCAAGTGTTACGTGCATTTTGATGCCAGCGCGATGATCTTACGCTCAAGCCGTCATGCGGTAGCTGTCAGACAATATTTGTATGAGTTTAGTTCAGAAGAACATTTGTTACCATTTGTATTAATGATGACCTTCAAGATAATAGAAGCGTACTAACGATGAATCCCTGATAGAAATAATAGTCAAATACTTTAGTATCTTAAAATGTCAGACTAAGATGACAATATTTAGCCTTACTGAAATAGTCATAGTTTCAAAAACAACGTATAATCGACGATGAAACTTGTAACCGGCGCAGCAAAAATTCGAAAAACGGTGGCATTTTGTTTGCACTAGTTGTTATTGAAAATTAACAGTCCAAGCGTGATGTTAAGAGGTGTATATGTATATATACACATATGGACATACGCAATTTATGAAATCATTTTAGTGCGTCGAACAATGGCTGCTGTTGTAAGGTAAACGACTGTTAGCGACAAAGGCGCGACCATAATATTCCTATCTTGTTTACCACAAATTTTTCACTTCGTTATGTGCTCAAATAGTCAGTATAAGTCATTTTCGCAAGGGGGAAAATAAAGTACTTATGTTGCAATAGTGGCAAAAAAGGCCCTATCTGGTATATTCGAGGCTAGTATTCACAGGGCGCACTCACATATTTATAATAAATAACAGAAAGGGAATTCGGAAAGAGACCTGGATAGCGGCTAGAATTGCCAATGGTTAATTTTTAGACGGGTGAAAACATATCGTCTAAAGTCCACAACATAATCTTATGTACTTCATCTTTATTTTTACAAGAAATAACAGATGTGCGAGTCACTATTTTATTGCTGAGGTTCGTCAAAATGCGTAAAATTGTGAAGCGAAATTACTGAAGTGAAGCTATTTGCAACATATGCGAAAATATGACCGTGGTCATAAACGTCGTATGTGACCTCATCGTAAAAATTGCATAAGCATACGAGAATATATACGTATTTGTGACAGAAGAATAGGAGTAATAGTAATTTTAGCCTTGACAGAATGATTTGTTATTCTAATAGCTTTTTACAAACTGCTTCTTCAGTGACTGCAGGCCATGTTGAAGATTTATTGTTAAAATGAACTCAGCAAAACGCACAAAGAGTTCTGGCCGTAATGGTCTGAAGAGGGCTAAGACGTCGTCGATACCGGACGTGCAGCTAAATCCTTCGCTTGTATTGGATGATCCGCTCACTGCCAAGATTAGCCAGTGTTGTTCCGACGATCGTGACATGAAGGATGGCGACATTGAGGTGCTTACTGCGCCGTACAAGGTCGTAACAATTGACAAATTTCTCCAAGATGCATCGTTCATCGAGGAACTGGCAGACGAACTCTTCGATCTCGAGCTAAACGCAAAGAACAATGACCTCTACAAATTCCATCAAAGTGGAGATATGTTTAACTGTGATACACCTGCCATACTTGGCCTCACAATGGCGTTCCGTGAAAAGTTGCAGCCTTGGCTCAAGAAAGTTACCGGTATCGAACTAAATGGCGAAATCAGTATGTCCTATTCAAAATATGCATACACTGACGTCCTTCTGTGTCATGATGATGAACTTGAAGGGAGAAGAATAGCGTACATTTATTATTTAGTATCACCGACGTGGTGTGAGGCCGATGGCGGAGCTTTGGAGCTTTTTGGCGTTGATGCGAAGACGGGTGAACCAGCATGCATCGAAAAATCGTTATTGCCTAAGAGAAATCGCCTTGTTTTCTTTGAGGTAAGCCCAGCAACGTTTCATCAAGTAGGAGAAGTTGTAACAGAGGACAAAATTCGACACTCATTAGTCGGTTGGTTTAATGGCCCGCCGTTCGAGCGCCCTCCGCACTACGAGGAACCTCCTCTTCCTGTCGTTCCTCATGGTTTTGTAGACGAGAGAGTACTTCGAGCATGGATCAATCCGCTATACTTATCCGAACAGCTGGAAGCTGAGGTGCAGCGACGATTCTGTGACGACAGTCAAACGCAGCTCGACTTTTTCCTCGCCGAGGATCGCTACCTGGCTGTGTGTGAGGCGTTTAACGAGTACAACGGCTGGGTTGAAACTGGCCCTGCTAATCGACGTAAAGCATACGTAATGAAAGAGGACGTTATGCCGGAGGTGGTGCGCGAAATGATGGCTGTACTGGGCTCGGAAGCCATGTACCTGATTCTTAGTAATATGACCGGTCTGCCTTTGCATCCAATGGGCAAGGTTGAGAGAGAAGAAGATGACGACGAAGAAGAGGCTGATCCTAAACATCGGTAAAGACTTTTGCCTACCTGACTGCTCTTTATCAATTTTTCTGCTTATCACCTATTAAAAAAAGAGAACCAAATATATATATATACATATATAAAAGTAACTGAACATGTTATGTAGAATGATTATGATCATAGAGCTGCAGTTCTGGAACAGTAAGCATTTTTCTGTATAAAATAGATCTTGTTACTGGTTCCACCAGGTTTTGCACACCTCAAAAAGAAATTTGATTGATTATTGTCATGTTCTGTCAGGTTCAAAATCCGCGATTGGAGGCACGGCGCGTACACGCTGGTACATGATGACATGCAGGACGTCTCGCGTTGTGTGCTTGATCTCAGCCTTTTCTTCAACGCGGATCAATGGCGCGCAGATTGTGGGGGATTCACGTCGTATATTGCAGATGATGAGGAATTGTTGACCGTTGTACCGAAATCAAACTCACTGTCGATGGTTTATCGAGAGGACGGTGTACTCAAATTTGTAAAACATGTTAATCATCAAATGGCTCAGGTCACTGATCCTTCGAAACGACACTTCCAGGATGTACATCTCAATTTCACTCATTGATTTCAACGATTTGCTTTAAAGGAGTTGAATTCATCGCTGCTTAAAAAAGAAAGGAAAAGGACAGTGGAAAACCGAGTACGTCTAGTTGGTAGCTTAGTGACTAATATGTAAAGAGTGTCGCAGATATGTGGTCATCAGCGAAAATGTAACGATGTGGCGTTGTGATCCGTATTATTTTAGAAGTGTTGAAAAAAACAGACGGGAATGGGGTTAAGGATGTTAGAGATTACATAAAATTGTCTGTAGTATCCTCAACAACACATCTTCAATATCAATTTGGAGAAACAAAATCGGAGTGAGGTGGGACTGAATTGGAAGAACACCCACGAAATATATGAATGGAATACCAAAGCCGATGGGAAATCGTTTACTAACGATTTTTACGTGATATGGCCAAACAAATGAACGAATGTTATCACATAAAAAAGGTGTGCGAACGAATTAAGTTAGTTGAATAAAAAGCCAGAATTTTATGTTCAAAACTGTGGAAGACGGTAAACTGTGGAAGACAAATGTGCCACGATAACATCATGGTGCGAATTACGGCGGTGGCGATTTGGCCAAGTCGTAACCTGCAGTTAACTTTGTTAACAAGCGGGTAATTTAATACGATGATATTATGGTATTTACAAGTTAATGAAGGCGGTAGTCTAAGACAGTACATGCAAAATTGCTTTGCAACATACAACTCTATCCAATGCCGATTTACTAAAAGTTTACAGAATACTAGTTTGACAACAACTAGTTCGTGCTGAGTACGAGTAAATCGAACTAATCAGCTATTGATCTGGTACGGGAAATGAAATTAAAAGTGAACAGGCGTTCAAGGTCGTCTTCTTGTGACATCTAAATGAGATGACCAGGCAACAGAACTATCTGAATACAACAATGATGTTTTTATACTATATTTGGGTGGATCAGATGGTCTGAGCCATGTTGGAGTTATTTAAAAAGCACAATTTAATAGACATCTTATATTCCATTACTATATTACTACAACACGACTGGACTTCTATAACATATACGTGCGTGTGTGTATGGCCCGCTACCTTTGGGCCATAAGTTTTCAATATGAAGAGGTTAGTAGATTATAGTACATGAATCACAAACGAACAACAGTAATTCAGTGGTATATATATATATATATATATATAATCCAATGCTTCTTGGCGATTATTGCCGGCACGAAAAATGACGAAAAAAAACTTTGTGAGATCAACTCATAATACATGTGGAGTTTCTAAGTAAATCGCAAATTAAGCATTTCAGAGGTTCAAACGGGAGATGAGAATCTATAACTAGGATAATCGTCGAACCGATACTATTCTTCTGATAATTTTCTCCGTCCCTCTTAAGCATATTCTATGTGATAACATAAATCAGTACATCAATTTTAATTAACTACGAAAAATGTGATGACCATGAGATAGCTGCCATTAAAACTGTTTATCGTGACGGTTTTTTAGGGAAAAATCAAGCCGACTTTATAATTAGGCGATTAAACCACACTAAATTATATGTACAATAATTAATGTGACTACTAGAAATCGTTTGGTTTTATTTAGTGATATTTTTCCATTTTTTTTCGTAATTTAGTAATTTTAGATTAGTGGAGCTTTTTTTCATATGGCAAGTTCTCTCAAGGTCGTTCTCGTTGTTTACTTATTATCTTGCTGGCTCGTTTATTCGCCGAGTGGTTAACGACGCAAACATTGTGATTGTGATATTATTTCGCATTTATGTTGTGCGGAGTGAGTGAATCCTTTTTCATCATATTCTTAACGGGTTCGTGTTAAAGCAAACAGTTACTGGGTTTAAGTCTCATGATTTTTGAGTTTCAAGGAAGGCCCAATAAGTCTTGACAACTTAATTTTCGATTGATTTTTTCTATTTCTCTTATGGTTTGCACCTGGATGTTGAACTCGAGGAACAGATCGCCCAAGATTGGTTTGTCGATGTCTTAAACGAAATTGTTGTACATCACGATGACCTTATCGGGTTCAGCCGTTAACAAATTAATAAACCGATGACAGGAAATGACGATACATATGTACTTTCTGTATTATATATAATAGAAATCTAATAATGCTCGGATAATAGGCAGAAAGAATGTAGCAAGCAAAATCACAAAAGACAACACAGGAAGATGTGTACGGATGATGAAGACGATAATAGGGATATAGATATTCATATTATTATTAACGAAAAATGTAATAATAAAAATGAGAGATAGCTATGTACATAGTCTTGCACATCATGCCTTGTTTTTATTTATTGAGATATGCATTTCGTGTACGATCTACATATGCAGTATTGTCCGTGCTCATCATCTTAGACACGTTCGCGTCAGATTTACATTACATTCTTTTACATAAATCTGTTTAATAATTATATTTTTCAAAATTCACGTCACCAACAATACTTCCTTAGAAAAGCACTGATAATCTATCTTGCTATTATTATTGATAAAAGACTACGTTTCTCAGGTTTATGGTGATGTTGCAAAATAAAATTAGTATAATTAATAAATACATGTAACATGTGTATATGTTGTGTAGATACTACACCATACATGTACATAACAGAAAGAGCATCAAGAATTTGTGTTGTCACCAGAGGGCGTTTTTCAGGGAGCTGTGTGAGCGACACAAGTACATGGCCACACTGACTTAGATGGGGCCAACCATTTATTCATATCATCTGGACTGATATTGCTGACGAGCCATTGCTGCTTGCGTGACCGCTGCTCTTATGAATATTATTGCCTGCGCTCGTCCGATGATTATTACTGTTATTCGTGTGATGATTCGACTGCTGTTGTTGTTGTTGTCGTCCTAGAACAACAAGAATATTTTTGTAGCGTCTTTCGATTTTGCTAATTATTTTTACGAGGCATTGACATTTTCTGTTTTATCGTATCTTTGAAGCTTCTTCAATGGAACTCACAGCTGACCTGATCCATTATTATTATTATTCTAGTCATTCTATGACTGTCTACATGGAATTAGGTATATTTGAGTGACGAAGTTATATATATGTAATATATACATAATATATATAACATATAACTTTATATATAAGTTAAACATATATATTAGTCTCCTTTCATTTATTCTCACAAAGCTATGATGAAAAGGTCTACTCACGCAACAACGTATTTAAGCATTCGTATAGGAAGATGTACTGCTCCTGAAAATTAACGCAAGTGCACTTTAGTCATGGCTGATTTAGTAGCTCAGTCACTACGAGTATCAAAGGTAAGGAAATAATTCGAACGTAGAATGGTGAATCGCAGCAAAACAACTACCTGACAATAGAATAGCAACAGCAATCGATAGCAAAATCTGTTATTGTTATTGTTATTATTGGAAGCCTGATAAGAATAATCTGCATAGAGATCTAACCTCTGTTTGAACCATAAGCATTCTTTGGCTTCGAAGGTATTTAACCATTTCAGCTACGTCAATCCTGACACCTGCTTGCAACGAATCCATCAAAAAGTCCAAAGCGATAAAAGTTCCAGTCCGACCAACTCCGGCGCTACAAGATTAAGAATGGATGAAACATGAATATTTGGTGGACGTAAAGCTCGAAGATGTATACCTGTTAAATACAATGTCTTACTGTGGGTAAAGGCTGTAGGACAAATAAGAAAGAAACAGCAAGAAAAATTGCCTAATGATCCTTCTCACCTGCAGTGCACCACAGGAATAGTGCCTGGTTCTCTGGCCCTCCTAAATACTGATAGGAATGAAATCAGATCGTCGGGATTATTCGGTATTCGGTGGTCCTTCCATTCGAAGTAATGCAGTTGGTTGAACCGGTGCGTCGTACCGGTCGGACCCTGATGAATTCGAGCAACAGACACTCATTACTTAAAACAGCTCGAATGACAAAATTCGCTGATCTCAAGCTTCGAGTTCGATTTTTGCCGTATTTGTCGTAGAACGAAGTACTAAAATGATGAAAAGTACCTCTACAAAAATGTCGTTGTTTTTAAATATCTATATAAAATTCGGCGATTTCACGCAACGAAATGTAGAAACGATATCGGAGGAGCATACAGTCACTTTGAGATCCAGCATTAATTTATCTCCTTAGCCTATATTTGAATTGCATGTTTAGGTCCACTTTAGCATGCTTAACAGGCTACGTTACGCTAATATACGTAAACATCCATGAAAACCGATTTTGCGGCGGACGCACGATAAGGGCGTTCGAAGTAGCCTGAATTAGAAAACTGAAGAATGTTTTCATGTAGAGTTGTCAAAGAACTTGGTCATGCATAAGCTCGAATAATGCGATTTGAGTAATAATTATTACACAACACTACTGACTGTTATATAAACTGTCCAAAAATCGAAAGTTTTTTTCATTCTACATATACAAGAGGTGGGCGTGGACCGTTCAAGGAAGCAAAAGGGCATACAACAGAATATATATACTAATGACTATATACAAGGACAAATGGGAATTCCTTTTAGATAACTCACTATAATTTTTAGCATACGATTGACGAAAGAACTCCGTCGAAATTCTGCCTCCAGGTGGACGAGGAAGCGACCTTGAGGTTCGGAAGCTCCAACTGCCCGAGGCCAGTACTGGTAACACTGACGCTATGAGAGAAATCATTTATATCAAATATACAAAACGTTTAATAGTTATTAGCCTGTAGCATACTATGAATCATCATTATCACTATAAATGATTTTATTTTAACGTCGGTGAAACACGTAGAATTTGGTGGGCGAATTCAACATTAATTAGTTCTTGCAGATTGGCTTTTTTAATTGTGCCGCTAATAGCTATTAAATCAAGTTAATTTTATTTTAACACTATTAATGGGCGACATCGGCTCGATGTCTACATAGATTCAAAGGGAGAAAGTGAAAAAAGTCTATTTAGCATATAATGCAACATGGTTGCTGATAACATATGATGATTAAATTCCTACTTTGGTTGACCCTTTCGTTGTTATTATAAGTGTGAAACTAATTAAACTAATAAACGCATTCGATTCGCTCTGCTCAACGATGAACAACAGTCTCTGTGCTAATGCCGTTACCCGTAGCCGAACAACTACACGAAATCCTGCTCTATCTATAAGAGATTAAAAATAGGAAAAACCGCGACAGTGACTCTCACTAAAGTCGTTTACTACTTAAGAACATTCCTGATGACGCAACGTGTAATGCACGTCCATTGTTCAGATCGACGTTCGTTCATTCGCGATGATGGTGGTACGAGCTGCTACTGTTGAGAGCTCTTCGATCTGATGAGCACGGCGTAAACATCCGCTTGCACGTGAGATGCACTCCACGAAATATACATGAGGTTAGGGCCAAGCGTGCTTTATTGGCACTACTACCGCGTAAGTCGCTCTTTCTCCTCTTTCTGCCGGTCAGTCTTCTGTGTTGAAACCGCCGTACCTTGACGCGACTAAAGTCCAAATGACACATCCGTCTTCCGCTTTATGCGCTAACTAACTCGGCTGCGTCTGCTTTCAGAGCACAACTGGGTGAAAAAGATTCGGACCGCGCGCGATTCTATCATTGAGCGCACCAATAGCGAAACCCTTTGTACGTCTATTGTTTATATTATGGCAATTAGTACATATCGTGGTCAACAAACTTTGCTCGACACAACACAAAATCTAACAAACGATTGCTTATTGAGTGTGTGTACCAAATGGATGGGTTCCAGTAATTAATAGTGTCGATCGTCACAAGGTAGAAGTATCAGGATAATGCAGCTCGAGGTAATTTACTTTGGGATACCGAAGTAAGTGTTATTTGTATGTGCGACCCATCAGTAAGCTATTTTCTATACAAAAAATTGTCTGTACATGATAAATGCTTCGGGGGGTGCGCCGGTATGCGGGGCCACAACATGAGACTCATCATAGCAGAGGACTAAAGCATTTCATTTGAATCGCTACTGCGTGGCGTGGTTCCGCATGAAAAAGTTGTGGTTGATTATGGGTATACTGCTACTGCTCATAATAATAATAATAACCTGGTAAACGCGATCTACACATGCGAATTAGCACTATAGCGTGCATGTAAAGCCTGGGCGTTGAAACAAGTTAGGAATCTAATGTATGATATTTATTATTATATTGTTATTATATTATATTATATTATATATATATATTGTATCCGCGAACGCAGTTTATCAGAGGTCCACATCTGTATAAGCAATTAATTCACTGCAGTTCAGACTGTGGGTCTATAGTCAGCAGCTCAAAAACAAGTAGTACAAAATTAGACAATGACAGTTTAATACACATCGAAGGCTAGATAACGTTGACAACTTAAAATAAGCACAGTTCATTGTGAATTTGAAGGTATAATCTGTCTGTTGGTAAGCTTCTATATAAAGAATGTTCATTACGATGGGAAATAACCCTGAATAAACTCGATTTCCAAATACACCAGTCGCGAGGAGCAATCAAGTAGCCAAAATGGTTCTTTTAGGATTTTTAAACCACATATTAGCGTTCTATGTATAAATAGTACTACACATGTGTAGTGAGAAAAGCGTGTCAGCCGATTCATACAAGAATAGCTCAAATCTACAGCAAATTAAACGATATCCGATCGACACCAAGTAGAACTGCCACGTACGAAACGTACTCATATAAACACATAATGCCAGTGATATAGAAAGCAACATTTGCAGTATATACATTAGGCCTTAATTTAATCTGTTAGCTCTTAAGCGGCTTGTACAATAATGGAGTATTTTGTATTCTTTGTGTTGTTCAGTTGACGTGATAATGTTCCTCACATAAGTTACTTTCAAATTGACGAGATACGAGCTTTTCAATGTTTAAAAGGCTTATTTCCCAATCTGGCCAGGTGTGCAGTATCTTTCAAATATTCTCTGACCCCAGTTTATTACAAGAGGTCTACGATAGCCTTCACCTAACTAGAAACGGGTTCTTCCTAATCCATTGGGACTTCATGACAATCGGCTTCGTGGCCATGTTCTATAATCGTTAAAATGTATAGATAAAATTTTAGTCATATTAAAACGTCTTCCTTTAATTATCACTAATCGAGACCATTTGCTTAGAAAGTATTCGATGCCAACGCCGCGAACTATGCATTTATTTGAACATGTCTAACTTTACTGGAACTAGAAGTTGTACATTCCTTATTGAAACGGTCAAGGATACGCTCCATATATATCTTTATGTTCTTTTCTAACCGTTGAGTTTCCCCGAACGTTGTCGTTCCTCTCCCTTGGGAACTTTGGCTTCTTAAAAGCGGTGCAGATAGCGGTTCTCTGCCGCGCAGCAACGTTCTTTAGTATTATTATGTATATAATTAATATAGTGATAATTATGTATATATGTATATATATACCTAATTAGCAATACACTACAACCAAATAAGCCTATAGATAGCCCCCAACACCTGAAATGATCATAGCTTCTTACTACCTAGTTGGCTAGCGTAGCTTTTATTAGATGGGCAGTATTACAGACGACCCATAAAGCAGCCGGGCGAGCGAGCCGGCGATCTGTCCTAGCGAAGTTGCCTATCAGGTTTAATCAGAACTTCATTAAAATAAATGAATGAAACAAATTAAAGGTGTAACTAATAAAATGTATATTATAATTTTTTAAGGGTTTTCATAAAGAAGTCGTGCTTGATCATATTCTTACATGAGTATCCTAAGTCATAGGGGCATACTTAGAAAACCGTGAACTAACTTTTTGCATTCCCTCCTCGATATTTATGGATGAGATTATAGTAACGACGATTTTGACGCCTTTCTCGATGAGCATGCAAAAAAAATCTTCGTATGTTTCCTTGGTGGGTCCCTGAGTCGCAATGAAGCTTACTTCACCTTTCGGATTCTGCACAATTGTAGGCAATATGAAAACAGATTAATCAAGAAAGAGGCAAACAATAATAATGTTATCTGTATAATTAGAATAATAATTATACAGAAATATTCATATATGAGCAATCATGATTAGATACCTAAAATGATAACAGGCCACGTCTTCAAACTTCGAAGGCTCTAACTGTGGTTGACACATTGCCCGATGGACAAACGTTTCGTTTAATTGAATAAATGAACTATGAGTGTCTTTTTTTATTGTTGACAGTCGAATGTCGTATCCATTATTACCACCATAATTATCAGGGTCGTCATCATCGTTGCAGTCGTCTATTGGAAGGCATAGGTAGGACAAAAGTGCTAGATAGGTAAACCAATGATTTGTGCACTAGTGTTCATATCGTGTAATCATTAATCGTGATAAACCTCATCTGAGGGCAACTCTGAGGTTGCTAAGAATAATAGAATAGAAGAATACCTACCTTAATGTTTGAAGCGTTGATATACGCCAAGACCTCGTTACCAGGCGATGACGCTAGGCGCACGCGATTGTGATCATCTAAAATTGCCCAGACCGACGAATCGACAGATGGTCAGTCGACCATATTTTAAATAGTTAGTCTTTTGCTGATTCTTAATAATGACGGCACATTTCCAGTCTGTATGGATTTAGCTATGGTGTGTAATAGCGTGTATCTTAAAAGTGACAATAGCAGATCAAACACTAATAACCCGGGATCCGTCCGATATGCAAGCTAATGTCCATGAATACTGTTTATAATTAAAAATAATTAGTAGCCATTATATTCAGGTTGCGCGTTCATTTGGATACACTTGGTTGATCAGTTCATTCTATCTATTCATTAGCTTCAACAATCAATGAGGGACTAGAAACTGTAGGAATCATTGATATCCCAAGGTAGTTTGAAACTACCTTCATATCTCTACCCTTAAACTTTGTGTAAGCGCTGTTAGCGGTACGCTGAATGGCCATTAAAGCAAAAGGAACTGAGGAGCAAGAATAACGGTAAATAGCTTGTTATAACGAAAATATGCAAAGGTGCACTCATATCAATCAGAATATAATCATCTGAAACTGGTTTAAAAAATTCGGACAAACCAAAAAGTCCACTACACGGTTCGAGCGTGTTATGTGATTGTATGGTTGTATTATGTGGCTACATAATTAGATAAATTTCTATAGATACATAGAATTACTAATATCGAAGGCCGAATACAATGAAAGTGTCCTATAGTTACTTAAATAACGCAATCGAACGTTTGTAGATTAATCCGCTCAGTCACTGGGGTGTCAGCTCACCGTGACAACTCTGACGGCCTATTCGCGACGAATCCGAATAGGCCGCAGTAGAGAGCATTTAGCGAAGCGAAGCTGACAATGGTTACAACAGTGTATAAAGGGATAGGCTACTACTTCGCCTAACTGTAAATCAGGAAATCTTAAGCTACTGGCAGCAAAACAAGCAGCAGAGGGTCGACTGACTCGAACGAAGTTATAATGCCCCAAGCGCATTCTACTGAATTACTACAGCTGGAAACGGGTAGCGACAGTGGAGGAACGTAAGGACGGCAAGTATCTGGTGATAACTTATAAGCTTTTTTTATAATTAGTTTAATGAATGTCGGTTATATCCTGTCAAAGGGTGTTCAATTAATACGCTATTTGCTAATTGTTGTCCATTTGAACGTATCTATGCGTCTCACTCCGAAATCAATCCACAGCGTTTTACACAGCTTCTATGCAGCGCACAAATAGAAGGGCCGTTGGCAACTGACTAACTTTGCAACTTCCTAATTGTTCTCCTAGAAAACAGTATAAAGCAGTAAAAAATAGCTATTTCGCCAGTTGTCTTCATTAAATACTCTGCATCTGTTGGCTTTACAACATGCAGCAGCAGCAGCAGCAACGGCAGTCACCACCATCTCTGACAGTCCGCGCAGCTGCCATTGTCATCATTAAATAGTCTGCATCTGTTGGCCTTACAACATGCAGCAGCAGCAGCAACGGCAGTCACCACCATCTCTGACAGTCCGCGCAGCTGCCATTGTCATCGCTCTGATCGCTTACTTTGTCCTTGTGCACTTGCATACGTACTCGTCACTAGTTGCGACGGGCCACTTCGGGCGGGGCGTATGTGTGACACAGACTCGTTCCATAGTGATAACGATGACTGTGGCGATAGTATTAGACGCCAGAGCAGCTATGGTAGACAAATTATAGCTATAGCGAATTACGATGCTAACAATTCAAGTGGACTTCCTAAACAACAATGACGATAGCGAGCATCAATGAGCGCCGGAAAACGCCGACGGTGCCGGCTACTGACGCTGCTGTTAATGTGCGTGACGAACTATATATTTATCGTTATGGTATGTTACATGGTAGTGACAGTACACTTAACCATATATACCTATATATATATATGGTGACTTAAAAAATAATTGCAAGGTTTGATTAGCAATTACATAATGTTGCCGAGTATGGCTGTTACCTACATGTTAATCATCAGATTTACATATCGAAACTTTTGCTGACCATCAGCAATCAATGCTGAAGGTGCAACTTGATCGCAGGTTCATAAATTCTAACTGACTGGAAAAAACAAAAGGAGAAAAAAGACCGAAGAATTTCTTTGGTGTTGTTGAATCTTTCTTAGTTGCCATAGGTAGGAAAGTGAAGGGGGTAGGTCTACTAGTTCACTTATCATTTCAGAGGGAACACACTGGCTTTTAACACCTCTACGTACCTCTAAATTACTGCACGCGTTTCGACATAAAAAGAAGGAATCGTGCACACACATTGCTGCTCATGAAAGCTCTGCCATACGCTATGCTAAAAAGACTAAGGATCTTCAAGCAGGTTCTTAGTCTTACTAAACGACCAATTGTTCGTCCAACTCAACAATTCTCGTTTTTGTCAAAGTCAATTTTGTCGGGTAAGACTAAACAACGTGAAAATTGAACGGTTTCAATCAATCGCAGCACGATTATACTAATTTCGAGGTCCAACGATCATACCCATGTTTAACGTATAAAAGATGATAAAGCCCTCGTTCGTCGAAAGTGTGTGTGCGTGTATGTGCACTTCAAAGAAATATGTTCATCAAAAGATGTCTTACATGGAACCACATCTCTATATCGATTTTTATGTCGAACGTCAGCCTGCAAACCAAATGTCGTATTCCGGTTGTTCAAGTACTGTTGGGTGTCTGTCTGGAAAAACAAAAAAAAAAAAAGACTAGTTAAGTTATTGATAGTCCGATAAAATGACAAGTACAAAATGCTAGCAGCCTCCTATATTATTTTTCAGGAATTTTGGCAGCATACATCATCGTAGTGCACACAATGCCCATTTATCCAACACTTGCCCAACTTTACCCCATGAGCGGTTATGCATGTTTTGTTGCTTGTTCAATAATACTAATATATAAATATGAAACGTCGTTAGCGCATCAAACACGCTTCAGTTTCGCTTATACTATTCTATCGATCATTATGAATACGAACGGGCGCTGGTATTAGATAGATTGCCTGCCTGTTCAGATTCATTGCATCCCTGCCTGACCCTTTCAAACACTTACTTTCCGTAGCCGATAGTTACAATACGTTGCAAACCGAACAATAAACATTGCAAATATTTGTCGAAGCGGCGGGCTAAAGACCCGGCGCCCATTTACCCGCTTGATGAACCAAACACGCATCGTCCCATTTGAATAATGAGATGAAAAAAAAGTATCATCAACCCCGCAGCGGTAAGAATATCAGCAATTCGACTGCAATTATAAACGCCGAACGTCTACCCTATTTACTGTGCTATATATATATATATTGTCATTACTAATATTAGATATTTAATTCTCCTTGTGGATAGAACCGACGATTTCATAGTTTAGCGTTGTAATAACTAGATCTTTAGATAATAGAGAAAAGGAGAGAGGTAAGATGTGAGAAATGTGCAACTAAATTCAATAAATTACCAATTTATCTCTGTGTTTGTTTAGAGAATAACGGTACCTGGTTTGTCCCAGACTCAACTTCTATTTCTGTAGGATTTTTTACTGCATCAGATATCTACGGGCGTCATGTAACTTAACGTTACAGGTCAATTTCATACGGATTTGGTTCAGGATAGAGCTAGCTAGCTAGCTAGCTGGCGTTAATCTGGTTCGAGAAATTGCTGCTTGTCCAACCAGCTTTTACATTATACTGGTCATGAATCATTGTGAACGTATCCGTTCTAACTAAAATTCGCCATGGAGGATTTACGATCGACAGCACGATGGGATTTCCGTCAATCATAACATTGGCCATTTAGAAAGCATTGAATGTAGTTAATTTCGCCTTATGGACTCCATGCCGGAACTGAAACTAAATCTACATTTGATTCGGAACGTTACTAAAACGTAAAAATCCGTTACCCTAATAAACGACATTACGAAGAAGGTATTGAATGTGAATTTCGATACTCCTCTTTTTGTACCCCGTAGACGTACAAATAACTTACAAATTATTCTAAGGTAAAATTGCCCGTCGGTAAGAGTGAAGAACGATTGTCTGATGTATAGAAGATAATGATCTCCTTCTTAAGGTACTACTTTTGACCAACCGATCACTGTGCCTGTCTACTTGGTAATAATAACATGCACTGGTTCGATAAAAATGATCAGCCATCGATTCAGGCTTTCTGAAGTGTTAATACTGTCTTAATTACCTTGATTTTGTGAAACTCTATAGCCAACTGGTGATACGAATCCTTTTTTTTCTCTTCGAACTCCTGGCAGAATCGGCGAGCGTCTTGAGGGTCGGCAGGTTTGAAGTTCGCAAGTCTGCAGCGTAAATCAGTTAGCCGAGGCAGTTACGAGCGAAGCATATGAAAATGGCGATTTAACTAGAAAGATATATTTTGGTGACCTTGGCAAATCAAACCTACTCCTTTGAGAAATACAGTTAGATAATATACATAGATAGAATTTAATAAATACAACAACGCTAGCCTTTAAGATGGCGGCATTTATAGCCCTAGTACTGCTCCTGCTTCCGTCAAAAGGGCGGTAGGGGCATAAAATCAACGCTGTTCAAATTCGTGTAGAATTAAACTGAATTATGAAATGATATCATTATGAGAACGCATCTCGTATTGATAGTACATAAGTTGATCATATTTATTTACACTCTTCATCATGTACAAATGCAAAAAAAAGCTGTACAGGAATTGCCCACTAGGCGGAATGCAATAGCGGGGCAAGCCTACCTTTCTATTTGATGGTTGTATGTGATTCTGAGAATATATGGAGCGTCAGATAATGGAACCTCAACGCACGATAGAAAATAACATTTTCCTAGCTAAAGATACATTTAAAAATAAGGATTTCATAGAAAAAAATTCATGCTTGAGCCACCTTGGCATCTCCATATCAGGATAGTGGTGTCGTCGTCCATGGAACGCGTTTTGTATGATGTCGCTGGCCAAAGCCCATAAGGGCTCTTTCTTCTTATAAAGTAAAGCCAGAACAGCCATCAAGATGGCTGACAAGAAGAGCGCCCACGGAAGCACAGATGATGATAGTGGCCGGAACAGTTTAGCTGCAAATATAATGTTAAACAAAATATTACTCATTCACCTATAGGAATCTAGCATAAGTATAATTAAGCAATCGGTGTCCTGCTGTGATTTTTCAGTTTGCAATTCGGCTAGTTCAATGCGGCCACTCACGGGGTATTAGCTGAATTAATATCTTTGTAGAGCCATTAATACATGAAACCTGTGAAGACATCTGTAGTGTATCCCTAAGATGTGGTTTCCCTTTATGAGCAAGCGATTACCGCGGCCATCACTTGCGCAAAGGTGAACATAAAAAATGTCCTAATTCTGTTATTTGCCGTCGTGCACGAGTACACGCCTTTAGACGACATATTGAAATAATGAACGTTAAGTTCGCTGCAAAATAAAAGTTCTATTTTTGAAAATAGAATCTTCTGTTCTTTTTCTAGCCCATTGGCTCTAATGACCAGCCGCATGATTCATGACGAGAACCATCATATTTGATGCATTGTTTGTCAAGTAAGCCTTAAGGTTTTAAAATTGTAGCCGCCTCAAAAAATTTCCCAACCAGTAAATACACTGCGTGTCGACGTAAGGACCATCAATTTTGTTTACGTGGCACACAAAGTTAATGGCAATAGGTTAGTATTTACCTTGAAGCTGTCAGGAAGATGCTTGTGCATGCTGCTGGTAAGCGGTTCCCTAGTGTGGCAGGCTATTCAAACGATTGAATCAAGTGCTTTAACTTTTCTACAAACGTTTGTCCCTTGTTGCGTTCTCAATTCGAGTGCAGCAGCTGGCCTCATGTGCGCCAAACAACGCCTCACCACGTACGCCTTCCAGCTGCACTGCAAGGCTTTTTTTATTTAGAGCCGACTAAAGTTTTTCAGCCGTTAATTGGGTCTTCCGTAAACGTACCACTTAATAAAGCGTGAAATGCAAAAAGACCTACGCAGAATAACTTGAAAATTTAATTTTGTGATTGAACAGGTGACATATGCAGCATACAAAACACCATGTAGAATCACTGTTGCCCAACGTGTTCATTGTGTAATACAAAAAGCATAAAAAAATACATACTTTGAACTGTCACAGATTTTTTTGCCTACCTACGTTAAGATTATGTAATACAGTGCAGTGAGAGTAGTTTCACATCAAATTAAATGTTACAGTTGAATAGTTCAGATATACGATTTCGTGAGCGGCGAATGAATATCGACATGGCGGTATAATGTGGTCGAACTTCGGAAAACCAAAACACGTTATTAAATTGCGGCAAAGTTTGGGAGTGTTTTCACAATTTGGCGGAGACTAAGTATAGGACTGTGCCACTTTTAAGGTTGGTAATTACGAGTCTCTAAAACAAATTGGGGCTTCATGGAACACTAGTGTACACAACGGCAGCTCAAAGAAACACTGGAAGGATTATTTTCTTATGAGGCAGAACAAAAGATAATTAAGCCGTCGTAAGCCATGTAATCTGGATACACACACAATTTGGGATGAGAATATAAGCGCAGCATGCGGAAATTACGTTGGACGTATTGTTGCGAGGTACGGCCACAGTTTTGACTTGTACTCAGAAATATAGCGGTGCAGAAGGCTACCCGTCTGAATATATAAGTTAACTAATACTTGAAGCGTTCAATTTGGCCAGAAAATGTACTTCCTGTTTTTTCAATTGGACTACAACTTACTTTTTTTTACAAGTTTAATGTAATAGGTTAGAAAATGCAGTGCAAAATATGTGTATACTTTTTGAATGAATCATACAAATGTGAATCACTGCCCATCATGAGTTGAATTTGCGGCAAAATAAATATTATAATTAATTAAAGATTCGGACATGGAAAAAAGCTTTGCGCGACATTATGAATCGGATAATGTACACGAGAAATTAGCAAGACTGTATAAGTAGCGAACATCCATATGGAGGCCACGTATTTTCGGAACTTTGAGATAGCGTTATCCAGCGGTCAGGGTTGCCTCTGAATATCGAAAGTACTAGGCAGTGCCGCCAAAGTGTGTATCTTATATCACATCAGGCCCCCCTGAGATAGTAGCAGGAGCTGTTTAAAGGTTTTGGAAAACTTAACAGGATATACCTACGCTCGCGCCCTGAAGCACGTTTTTTAGAGCTGCGGTTCTTCAAAAACAGGACCAGGTGCCTTGTGATGTCTATCTAGCGACATGATTCTTCGCTATAGAAAAGTTAATGTTAAAGCCTGAAGAAGTAAAGAAATGGTGAGAATTGATAAATTAGCGATAATTTAGTAGATCTTTAGACTCCGTATCTGATCTGATGTTATCCAGACAGCAGAAAGCGTTCCGAATAGTAACTTTCTTGCTAAGACCAAGATGCATGGGAGAAACCTCATGGCCACATTTCGTAACTAGATCTACTTTGCTTTCTGCCCATTTTTATGGCTAGATCTCTGTAAAAAAACAATTCCCACAAAAAAGCAATTCCAAAGGTTGCTCGCACCCGAATTATTCCTGGGTCATATAGCTAAAAGAAGTAAAATTCCAAAAGTAATCCATCCGTTCAGTCCTGTCTAGTCAACTCTTTCGTTGCTATCTCAGCCAACACCTTGTCTGTGACATCAAAGATTCACCTTTCGTGGCAATAATTCTAATTCATTACAGCAATTAAAAAAAAAACATAGAAGCTTTGACGTAACATTTTACGGCCAACGAACGAGCCACGCCGCTTCATTCAGGCGCTAACCTTCGAAGACCTGCGATACGTTGAAGCAACATTAAAAAATAACAAAGTAGGTAAACTGTTCATTGCATACGCGCTGGATGGGCTAGACATTATAGTTTTGCTAAGTGAATATGATTTAGAAAACGTAGACGTAATCAGCTAGACGGGCAGGCGCTTGATGACGGACGTGTGTGTTACGCGCATATGCATAACGCTGCCGTATGTGTGGCCGCTGCCGGCGAAGCTGGGTAGTAGCAACGGCAGCTGAATACGAGAATACACGGAATTGGACGTCCTTAAGGACCACAATTAAATCCATTCTATTTGCCGTATGGCTAATATTTGGGCGCGACGAGTTGCCCACCGCAAGCTATAGGCAACACGTATAGCTTTTGCGAAGAAGGTCTTAGCACATTGCCAGTACTATCAAGACAAACGTTTTCGCAAGCCTGTGCCGCAAGCCAATTCAGTGTTGATTGTTGCTAGAAAAATCCATTGAAACGAAACGATGGAATGGTTCAGCTCTGAGTTAGTGTACAGCAGAACGCTAATCATTGCAATATTATACTGTAATGGTTGCCAGTGACTTGCGCAAGCCATGAGCTATATATACACTCAATACTCCACATATATAATAGAAGATAAACTACTTTCACGAGATTATCAAATATGGTAAAGTATCACAACTTATCCTACAACCGTAACGTTAAAGGTTATTTAAACCAAGCGATTGATCAGGAGAATAGACCGCCATAGCTGGCATTATCACACAGCTCCAAAAGCAATCATATAAATATTGTTTATTGTCTTTAATATAAGTTTATGCACAGACGAAGTTATGAATTGAATGTATCAACGTACTAGTTCTATAGGAAAGCCATTGCATGATTATTAGTGTTAGCATTTCATGAGCAATCGCTCTTACTGAATATATAAGGGATGGGGGGCAGGCATCCAGTGAAATAGCTCGTATTTACAACTAGGGCACTATTCAACTTGTAACCCCGTTTCAGAACGTGCGAATGCTTGGATTTTAAGCGTTCCACTTGCGAGTTACCTTGCGATCATTAATATTATTATTGTTATATTTCTTACAAGTAACTTTAACTTTTGCTTTTAGCAGTATATGGCTGTTTGGGAGCTCGGGTTAGTACGCCGTTTCCAAACGAGTACGTTGGATTTCGCCTCAAGTGGAGCTAACATACGCGTTCCGGAATAGAAATCTCCATTTTCTTTTTTCAATGCGGCCTAGAAATAACGCCTGGACCTAAGCTTAGTCCAAGTAATTATAAAGATCGCAGTACGGCCAATTATCCAGGACTATCTTGGACAGGAAAATCGCTTGCAAGAATGGCTATTAATCCAGCTCGACCGTTTAGAGGAGTATTGGAAAATAATTGATATATTGAAAATAGACAGTATTGTCCTTGTGCTTGCCTATGAAAATCCTGCAACTTTTCACCGTTGTGCTGTTCCCATTTTCTCACACAATGAGATGATGCCATTCGTCACTTGCCAGACCGCCTTCTCGTTCGTCTAGACACGCAGTACACTCTAGCTCCACCTCACTGTTTTTTCTCGCAGGAGAACACCTCCTTATCTAATAGACCATAGAAACCGGTAGCACTTCGTCAGTATCCTCGACTTGATTTGATTATATAGGTTACGTAGTCAAATCGGAAGGTGCTACGGGACTACTTTACTCGCCATGCACCTTTGCAAGATCCACACTATATAACCTAGATAGAAAATGTTTGATTCTAGAAATCCCAACGCTTCGATCCCTACGGCCGTTACTTGCTTGTTTTATAACCTGTAGCAGTCCAAGCTATAGGCCATCACGATAGGTAGAGAGTAAACGAAAGCAAAAAAAGGATCAAGAACAATGACAGGTACGACGTTATGATGATTGTGTGTTGTTTCTGCAACAATCGTTCTGTTTGGGCCTGTTGTGGCTCTCACCTCTACACTAGAACGTGTTGTAAGGTACTGTCGTCCTCTGGGTGAGGGGAAACGTTTTTGAGATGTCAAAACGTGTTAGTAGTTAACAACAGTTACTAACAATGCTGCAAACACAATAGCGATCAACAATACGTAGAGATACCAATAGCCTACCTACAAGGACACACAAAGAGATAAGCATAGATGGCGCTTACGTGCAGCTTTACTCGCGCATAATGTGTCGCAGACATGAGATTACCAAGCGCAAGCGGGCAGGCAACGCCTGTCGAAAACGCTGTCCTGAGCGCTGGTTGCCGACGAAGCCAGACTGTTGCCGATTGTCGATCGAAGGGTTTTGCCCCAACAGTGATAGCAACAACAATAGTCCTTAAATCACCTTTTCCCCACTTCTGGTTTCTTCAGAGTTCCTTTATGGTCTGTGCCGGTATCTTAATTGCATTTCTTCAATGGATGGTAAATGACACCAGTCATTGTATTTAGTGTCAGCAATTCTTCTTGCATGGAGCTGCAGTGAGTGCATAGTCGTATCGCGCATCGATGAAAGAAGCCAGTGATATGATAGCAAATTATAAGTTGACGATTAGCTGTTTACCGTCGTTAATGCGTCCGTGTACTTTTACACTAACTTACGATGTCTGTAAATTATAACAAGTCTCTCCCCTTCCAGTGCTATCGTACGGGTTATCTGGGCGACAACAATGGACAGATAGTGACGGAAGTAGCGATTTTCTGGTTGATGAGTTGTAAACCACCGGTGAAAACGTTTACTTCTGCAGACTTGCATCCATCCTCTACTCTCTAACGAGAGAACCGCATTGAATCTGTAATGATGTTGGTTTTTTTTACATGCAGCTGCCAGTAGATTATTATTGCGCAGAACCGCGCAGTTCGTTCGACGCACGTAAAGTTGACGCGCACCAATCGTCGGCGGTAATTGTAATCAGCGGTGGCAATAGTGAGCCGTGTCTGTGTGTGTGTGTGACGTAGCCGATTAGTCACTTCTGAGATGCTCTTTTACTCTCTTCATATTCGGCCACGATCACTGATTTATAGTCCGATTTAGCAGACGAACATCGGCTTCGACGTTGTGCCCCCTTTGGTTTCGTTTTCGAATATGTCAGAAAAATAGAGGCTGATTTTTCCCTTAACGACTCAACCCACAGCCGTAGAGAAAATAGGGGCAGAAACTGCTACAGCTGCATGTAACACTCTTTGCCCCTTTAAGGTGCGGCGCCGATTAACTCCTCTCTGCTATTGAGTCCTCAGTAATAGTGGTAGTGGTAAAAGCAGCACTAAGTAGTAACGTAGTCGTGAGCGGATCGACGGCTGTACCGGCAGAAGCGCTAGCGACTGCTCGCTAACGTTGACGCGACTATCACTGCTCTGTGGTAAGTCTCCGTTGGTTTCGGGCATGTCACTCGTATCGCTCGCCTGTCACAGCAGCATGACACCACAGATATACAACAATAGAGGCCTTACACTTGTCTAGCGCGTCAAAGACGCTGGCGACTCTGTGCAAACTGCTGTGACTGCTCAACAACTACTGAGTATCGTGTTCATCGACGCGGGGCGGCGGCCACCGACGATGTTCAATAATATAGCATAATAATAACACCATTTCCAAAGTAGCATAATCTGTGCCGCTGATACACACACACACACACACACACACACATGCACGCACGTGCGTACTATAGCTACAGCGCCGCTTTGTTGAACTTCACTCTGCGGGCTGATGCGCTCGTAAGATTATCGTCATAGTACGGTGCTGAGCGACGCTTTCAGACGACGTGTTGCTGGTTGACGTTTGTCATACGCGTTCGACTATTCACCGTTGTTACGAACAACTGGACGGGCAGACGAATTGCAAAAACCGTAACAGTAGCGCCACTAGCGACAAGGGCCTGAGAGCTGGAAAGCAGCAGCAGTAGTAATTTCTAATGAGTTAGCCAACCAGTTCCGCTGCTCGTGCGACTGCTGACCTTGAAATTGAGGGGCGAGTTGTTCGCCTGCTGGCACAGACCAAATCCAACGATCGAATGAGGAGAGGGGATAAGAGAAAGTGCGAACCAATCGGTAAGACCAGCAAAAAGGATTTCCATTCGTTTTGCGTAGTGCTCATCGGGACAATGCGTCTCTGTTGAATATAGATCGAGAGGATCTGCTGCTGTGGGTGTGAGACTGATTGATAAGCGAATACCGAGCATGGAACTGAAGCGAACCTAAATTTATGTGGCTTTATAAAAGATTGTGGCAGAAGACAAACGTTGATGCGGGTACAAGCCCATGTTACGCAATCGAGCACGGATAAATGTGTGTAAAATAAGAAGTTCAGCAACTTACCAAACTTGCAACAAACAAAAATCGCCCGCTAGTTCGTGATGCAGTCAATCAGGTTGCTTATTTGCCCTATAATAAAATGATTTTTTTTAATACAAATTTGAAAGTCAATTTCATTGCTAGAAAACTGTCTTGCCCTTGCGTTTTTATCTCAGGAGTTCTCAAGCATCTAAAGCCTGTCATTATCGCTATCCAACTGCCCCCTTATGCTAAATTGACCTAGATGAAATAACCTAGGTGGATCTAGTTTACTATACTATATAGGTCTAGTCTACTATACTTGTCTGTGAGAAATTATGTACGATACGCTTGCGTAGCTGTACATATACCAAATAAAGAAAGTACATAATAGGATTATGTACGTAGAAGTAGCCTTTCCTACTAATCAAATCTTGAAATACGAATGAAGCTATCAATTTTATCTATATTTTACTTTTTTATTTGTTATATTATGTATATATATACGTGTATCTAAAAATTAGAAAATCGTCGACTTTTTTCGGTTCAAACGTGTCCTTAGTTAAGCAGATGTGAATATGAGTACTAATTCGCTGGCCACACGGGTCATCCCTGACAACTCTCTTTCAAACTCAATGTCTCATTAACAGGTGACTAGCTGCTATTGAATGTAGTATTTCTAAATATGTTGGATGGAAACATTCTGTAGGATGCCGATGCCGAAAAATGGTAGCTGAAAAGGCTGTTTTTTTTTTAGGGACCTGCTAACACAATAATGACGAATCGTTTAGCTACAAAGCGTAAATTAACAGCTTGCTGCAAAACTACGGGAACAACAATAGAAATCCTACGTATGTCATACGTCCTTTACCATATTGAACAGACGCAATGAATAATCAAACATTTATGTATGGAGTATTCAGAAGAATCTCACCCGGCCTTGCTCTGTCTTACGCCCGGACCTATAGCAGCATGATGGGCTCCTTGTCGGATGAACTCCATGACTGCGTGTACTTGTTGGGCGTCCCAAAATCTATCTTAGACGTACAAATATCTTAAAATTAATTCGGTACATCCTTATCAAGCTAACTCTACACGTGTTCTTATTGTCGTCAAAAACGACGGCATCGTCGATATTCGGTTTCACATGCCCGAACTGCACTACTCCATTGGCCCAACTACACCCTGGCCCATCTCTCCCCAACAATAATGTAACCCATGCATGAATTTGTACTACACATTTCTAAATGTATATATAATACAACAGAAAATAACCAGTCATCACGGGGTGGACCTAAGCAGTCGACAGTGAAGCAGTTGAAAATGAAATTTGAAGATTTCATTGTTGAACAAAATTCTATTTACTATAATACTTTCTACAGTGGACAGTGCGAATTTACCTCGCACGCACGCTTCAACTAACCTGTTATATCGGCAAATAAGTAAAACTTGAGTAACATCTATAGTAGTGTACATGGATATAATCAACTTCAAAATGTACCACAAATTCGGCTAAAGAACTTAACATTGAGAACGAAGGTCACCTTTCGTTGATCAGCCAAGCAGCGATGATTTAGGACACGCCAACTAGCTGAAACAATTTTTAACTTCAAGTAACTATAGACCATTCGCTGCAATCATGTGACACAATTCCAACAAAGCCTATCATACATGCGTACCTTGTCGTACAGTTTGTGCCTTTACCATTACTTAGAAAAGTGAAATCAGTATAGTAACACAATAAACGATTTAGGACGGTCTATGGTCTGGGCTTATTCTTTCTGGACGCCACACCCCCCAGTGATGCGATGACGCCCGTTTGAAGGCCAATCAAGATTTGCGATAGCGAGGTCGTCCTGTCATTTTCATACCGTCCCTGAAAACCCGCAGAGCCTGGCTCTCTTTGTTCAAACCGAACTTCGTCTTCTGCTAAGGTCACTCTCAGTGAGCCTTGCGCGTACGCATTTTGGCGTCCACCAAAACAGATCGCCTCTCTAATTGCAGGGCCCTTTAAATGTAGGCAGACGTTCGAAGAAACGCATCTGACCCCCAAGGGTTCCCTATTCAGAGTCATAACACCACCGCCTTCTTAGTTTAAGAGATATACGCTGGGGCCGAGGCGGAAGCGCTCCGGTACAGTTTCTCGAGTGCTTTCGTATGCGCCCAAATTACCAGAGAGGCAGAATATCATGGTAACCGTAGCCTAGATTTGTGCAATCCGCGACACCGTGGTGTTTTCTTTGATTGGACACAGAAGCTCGTTTACAACTATGTGCTCGTATTTAATCTTGCGTCAAGTCTAACGATGACCTTGTTCCAGAGTCCGCCCATTATATTCATTTAACATTAGGCACTTCAAAACGTCGCAACCCCATGGTAGCAAGCATCGGGAGCCTTGCATCCGGCACGGGTTGTTTGCTCTGTGTCATGCTAATACACTGACTCTGGCTGCTATTAGCTCTGGTATTCTCAGAGTTTGCACACTGCAGTTTGGATTAAGAAACAAACTAGCAAATTTTTAGCAGATGGTTGAAGTCAAACAGCTGCACTATAAGTTAGTTTACAGAGTCATCGCACAGGCACAATCCTTTGGCGTTTTCTAGGAACGCCTCGGAACTTAAACGCTGTAATACAAAGCGTATCTCCTGACCGAACTTCAAAAGACCTTTATTATTTCTTCGGATCGGCGCATATTATTCTGACGACGGGTGAGGGTGGGTTTCCGATGGAAACCGCTCAAAAAGATGTTCCTGATACCTTTTCTACGTTTTTGCATTCTCCACAGTTTGAATCAGTGAAGCCAGCCCTGACCTATCTTCAACGTCCTAATCTTTTGTCTGGGTCTATACTGGTCAGGAAATAATACGATCCACCTCAGCCTTCAGCCTCGCAGCTTGGCCGGTAACTTCGCCCATTTCCGAATTAATCAAAACGTGTATTGCGTCCGGTACTGAAGCCGTTAAACGTGAGTTCAGACGACTAGCTTTCAACACGAAATGAGATGTGCCCTCAAATTTAATAGCCAAACATGTTATCCATTACGATATGATAGGGACATCCTGAAATGAACTAATCCCTTGCCAATTCGGTTTTACTGCCGCCAACTCTAATGACTCATAGTCGCTCTACGTTTTCCCCTTCTATAGCGATAGCGACGAAAGTACGTAGGAGTTAATATATGATTAGTACGTATCTTAACAGTAAGCCTGTAGAGTTGCAGAAAAATTATTGACGGCTCTTCTGGCCTGTGCGAAGGCGTGTGTCCCAGGTTAAATAGGTGGCGTCTGGTCAGCATTTGAGAACTAAATTTTGACTTTAGATAGGTAGGGTTGCCAGAAGTGACATTTTTGTGAGAATTCGCTATATTTTAGTACGATAATTACACAAGTCTTACCATGATCCAAAAAAGTCCTACTGTTCAAGATCACAATGCGTTGTTAGAGGAAATAGTCAAAAGGTAGTTGTCGTCTTGAAGACATTTACGTGAGAGATCTCCTTCGTAGTTATCGACCGATTACGATAAACATTTGGTAGACGAAAGTTGAACACGACTAACATGTGAATATGTACAGTATTGCCAAATAAGTTAATTTAACAGCTTAAAACTATTCGAGGATAACTGGCTACGAGAAAAAGCTCGATATTCCGGTACCACACGAATTCGCACCGGATAATTTGTAATTGGCTCCAAAACGTTGCTCGAAGTTAACTTTAAGATCGCATTAGTGTGAACGGAATTAAATATAAAAGCAAATTCTAAACAATGCAGACAAAGTGAAACTACATTTCTACATTATATATATATATATATATATATATCTATATATATATATAACGCAGAGCTCGCAGATGCTCTTCAACAATGTCGATGGAAATCGCTTTCTGAACGGTAAGCTACATACTTTATATATATACTATATATATAAATATATTTTATATATATAGTATATATATATATATATATATATATATAATAAATCGCACGTATTCAGTTCTGACAAAAATGTTGCCACTCTTCCAGTTGTCAGAGACCTGTAGAGTACGAGACAATCAATGGCACGCTTAGGTTTCTTCCAAAACAGCTCGAACTGTCCCGGTGTAATCATTTTGTCAAGGTGTGTACTGGAAGGAGGTTGTGATGGGGTCCAGAAGATAAGCGAGGCACTATAAACGGGACGAGCGATGTTTCCGACGTGAATCGAATATTGTGACCAGCAGCTCCAATGCCACTTAATATGTGTGTGAAGGCCTGACTGGACACCATTAACAAACGAAATTGGTTCACAAGAGTTTACACGCGTAATCTACACGTCAAATTCAACTTCGAAAGTAGAGCCCCAAGTCAGTGAAATTGATGAACCTCATTGTAAACTTAGCTGGTCGTGTTAGTTGCGACTCTATATTTGTCGGTTCCGTTAACGTTGCCCCTGGTTCTAGGCCACTTCTTGAACAAACATACATCATAGAATCACATTGAATTAGCTTCGTGCGACATTTCATTTTCTGCCCACATAAAATCTTCCAATAACCAGTAATTTGGTTTCACTAGCAACCCAGCAGAAGTCTTATACAGTTGCGCGCGTTTTCATTCTACATATCTGTTACTTTCTACATATCCCTGCCTAACTTAATAGTTGTTTAATTAGAGGTACTATTCATAATAGGCATATTTATCAGATTTCGCTTGACAGAGCTACATTTGTCTACTATTACGACGATTCTTACGACACAGTTGATGAAGTGATAGGTATAGTTGACGTTATTATACACTTCTGCTGCTACGTCTAATGTTTTTATAGCGAAAATAGATGCAAAATAAGAGGAAGTACACGCAAAGTACGATAACCAACAAAGAACGTAAAAAAACTGAATTATAGATGAAAACACGCATTACAGAATCAATAAGGACAGACTCTGGGCGTTATAATGATTATGTTAAATAAGTTATAATGGTTAAGTTGTTATTACAGGAGTGCGAATTCGTCAAACCGAAACAACCGCAGCACTTTCCGAAGAAGCCGACTTTGTTAACGCTGTACATAGCGAAACTAAGTGAGTAAGTGATAGCGGTTATGGAAAAGACTTAACATATAGTCCTGCAGTTGAGAGG